AACCCAATTTAGCTGCGATCTTTTGTCAAAAACCTCTCACTGGTCGTCTATAACAGATGAGGCATGTCTTTTGTAACTGATCCATCGATCATTGTACCTATTCCCTAACACCACTAATTTGTTGGTGATGTACGAGGGTAGTATGCCTACCTCATTGTTCTCTCTCTCTCTTTGCTTTCTCTGGGTGGCTTGCAATCTTTAGTCACAAATGCAACTGCCGAGCAAAACGTGTGCCTCTCTATACTATTTGACTACTGTGCTACAATACATTCAATCATAAAAGCGACATTTCAGCGTTTTAGCGAACAAGGAAAAAAATGCGACGAAAGACTAGCCCGGGTTCGCGGGCAACAGAAAGTAGACCCGATACATTTATTAGATAGCGACCTGTAATCTACAGCTCTGACTTCATACGACAACAATCACGATGTCATTAGTTCCTTCCTGTCATCTTGGCATGCTACAAGCCCCATCACACTTATTTACCATATTCTCTTGCTTCTTTTTAACTGGATATTGCAAAAGATATCTAGGCTACAGTCGTCGAAATAGTATGATGGAGCTCAATATCAGCCAGTGGAACTGCCAAAGAAGAAGTGCCAAAAAGATCTTACAATTTTAGACATTAGATAATCTGTTTTTACATCGGTTGCAAAAATATTATATATACAGAGGCTCAGCAGCTATTAAGCCCCTTGCCACAAATATAATTGCAATGATGCCCAACGAGGGGTGCTTTAAAAAGTGCGACAGACATCGATTCTATTTATGTCTATACATTATAGATTTTCTAAGCTTGTAATCATTAGGTGAATTAAATATTTAAGTCTAAAATAAATTCGCCCGCACGCGGCATGATTCCCTCTAACTAAATAGCGGGGTCACGTTCGCTGATAAAAATAACACATTTAGCGACAAAAATAACTCGACTACTATAGTCCATGTAACCAACAAAGGAAATCCACACAAATATATTAGATTATTAGCCAGCTAGTTTGATTTAATTTATACCGGAAGTGACCATTATGTGAAAACAATTATTCAGAGTTGGCTTGTCGGTTGGATAACCAAACTATCGAATTGTATTGGGAAAGGAAGACCAGACCGATCAAATTGACCAAATTAGTGTGTTTATAATTTGGTTTCTTCCACCGTCGACGGATTATATATAACTCAATGGTTGTTAATTAATAACCAGATGGTAATATCGGATGGTTGGTATGCCAATAACTATCACCGATCTGAAAATTCAACAGAGCGAGTATTATTGCCCACGCGCCATTCGTGGATAAAACATTTTTGCGGTTACCGAAAATCATGTTTTAGGTGCAAATTCAGTCGTCAACGGTGGTTACAACCGGAATATCTGCTCTAATGATTGGCGGATATCACGCGTACAGTTGACAATTCAGTTCCAAATAATGAAGTATATATTTCCGACTACCCACCTTCCAGTATTTATTTTGACTAATCATTAGATTATTATTGTCCTATAGTTCAAGCATTGGCTGAAATTCAAAATTGTCGGCAATATTTAGGTAAGGTTTTTTTTCATTACCAGTTAGTATTGGACAATTCCGTGATTGGTAGTAGTGGGTGTAGTGCGCGAAGCAGACCATTCTCACTCATTTCGAAAAACCTGATGGTACTTCTGTATGGAGGAACTACTACCACATTCTCGATTTTGCCATACTTTGGATGAGATTTTGATTAACGGAATTTTGTCTTGCTGGTACGGATTTTTTATTGATAGATATTAATTCTTAGTATCTTCTCCAAGAACACCGTCTAGTATATCGGTTGTTATCTACGCAGACTCTGAACTTCTTTCGTCGAGAATATAATGAATTAGGCTTCTTCTGGATCTGCAGGAATACGATTAATAAAAGTCTCGAGAGGTCATTCGGTAAATTTATTTAATTAAGACACGGTGCTAAAGTGAGATAATACGCTTTCACAATAGAACAGCTAAATAAATATAACCAATCTTCACAACACCATGTTCTCACTTCTTGTATATAATCAGGGAGATGATTTCCCGAACATCTATACCAAACGATTGCTCACTGCTTACAAAAGAAATTAAAATCTGAGTTTTAATGTTCTTGTCCATGTCATAGATCCCCTGTCATTCATTCAGAAATTTGCATTGCACATTGGATTATTTGTTTATCTTGTAAATCTCCAAATAAGTAATTAATTTCTTATCAAACCTGGTGCATTCTTATACTGAAATCCATAGTCTGTTCTTGTGACATAAATTACGGAATAGTCGCCTGAACAATCAAGCTTTGAATCTCGAAGAATGTAATAATCGGACATTTGAACGATGGTGAATGGTCGACCTATGCGTCCACCTACCATTACTGTACAAAACATTTGTAGCATCAGCGGCAAAGTCATTGTTCAGTGATCTCTGTTACCTCAGTGACCACTGTACCCTCAGTTTATAGCAATAGATACAAATATATCTTGGGTAAGGGTCCCGTTAGGAAATACAAAAACACCGATTTCATGTTATGAAGAATTATTATAATAATTTTAAAGGTATACTTCATGTTAGGATGGCCAAATATTGAAACTTTAAACTTTGTTAAAATGAGTCTGTGTTCAGTGGACAATAATCCAATGTATCCAAAAAAAATTAGAAGCGCGTTTCAAAAAATATTATATCGTCTTTTTTTAGAGATTCTATACTTTAGTCATGGCACCTGGAAAATCCACCTTTTGACCCAACTTCGAGAATTAAATTTTGTCCATTCTAAGAGTTAGTATCCTTTAACCGTTTAAAATTTGAATATTCGATACCCTAGGAGAATGGAACGATCATATAATAACACCACTTTTTTCATCAGATGATGTGTTCCAGTTTTCCCATCACTTTTTAAAATTAATGTCAATAAGTTGGAGAGTATTATATAAACCATACCAATCCCTAACACGTCTTGTTAATAAGACAAATAAGAAAAACAGAATGAAGGAGAAGTTTTCCAGATTGTATTGGCATCATGCCTTTAAAAGCCGGAGGTATTACCTCATCTAATGGACGAAATGACATGAAAATGATATTTGAAATGAGAGCGATGTTTAATAGACACGAGTTGTTATTAAGATCTTAAAAGTAATTACGATGAAGGCGTTAAATACTAATTTTATTATTAAAGGTGATTAACTCTAATTAGATGCTACCCGCTTGCTGAATCGTGACTTTTATTGCAAACCCTTTCAATGCCTGGTCTCTCGGGACTTAAACCGCCTCTAACTTCGTAGGATATGGATTCACAATGATAACAAAATATATCATTGGAAAATTGCTGGTCACAATACAGCATTAAATGCATTGGGAACTATACCCTAAAAGCTCTAAGGCTAGGGATTATTCAGGTTGCTATATTACTATTAGGCCTACGTTACAAATAATTAATTCATTTCAGACAAATTCAGCTATAGGCCCTACAGGTTCTGTCGAGGACGGCAGTACGATGATGTAGCATGATGCATCAAACAGCTCACAAAACCGTCCAAGTCACATCTTGCTGTTATTTGGTGCTCGAATGCCATCAGTATCAAAGAAGCTCGTCCTGGTTTTGATGTTAGTTTGTCTTACAGTTACAGTGGTAAAACAACTTTCACGAAGGCCTACGAGAATGCCTACACTCGAGCAAACCTAGGATCAATCATAGCTCGTAACAACTTTGTACAACATTCGAATCTATTCCATCATGGGGTCCGACTAAAAAGGGGCAACAGTAGCAAACTAGCGCAAACAACTTGCGATGAAAAATGATTTGGTCGGAGTTGGATCACTTCAATGCTGTGTGACAAGAACTATTACCTCTTAACACCAGATTCTTACGGAGGAAATAATTGGTTTTTTTTTTTTAGAGTAGTTTGTTTTGAATTGTGTCTTTGCAACGGATTCGACAATCGATTTGTTTGGTGTACACGTATAAGAATGTTAGCATTGGCAAGCGATGGGAACCTCTGGACACGGTTGCTAAAATTGATGTCGCAGATTATATATCCGCAGGGTCATTTAGTATTAGTTATTTAAATGCCTTTGGTGAAACTGACTGTCAGTAGCCATTATCGCACGGGGAGGATATTTTCTTTGCTCCGACCAGATTTAATGATAGAATATTAATTACTACAGAACATTAAATACATAAGGACTTGAGGAATAGCATTACCAATATTTTTGGGAAGACTCTGAATTTATTGGGTACAATTTACAGTAACACCTCAGAACATAGTTAGCATGCATGAAGCAGTATGACCTGAACATAGTGCAACATCATGTTACTTGAAATCAAGTCGGCGAGTTGGAAAAAGAACATTAATCTACACTTGTTACAGACCGAGTCTACTACCATGATCGAAAAGTATTGGTAAAAACATCAGTATCCTGTGGAGACCGAACGAAAAATGAGACGTTGATTCAGTACTTTCTCATTATCCTTCGTTTATTGTCAGATTTAAGGGTGTGATCCAGTTGAAGTTTACGATTTATATACATACTTAACTCCTTTCATAAAACCTATGATCTGATTCTGAAAGGTTCTGAATCTCTGTTTCAAATCATTCAAATATATTTGTAGTACAAAATTAACGCAAGAGTAAGATATTCTGGTTTCTCCGCTACCCGAACTACATTTATATTCGTCTATAAAATAGTGAGTATATACGGAGAAAACTTGAATGCATTAAAAAATGCCTTAAACTTCTTATTTTACTATTAAAGTGTAGAAGTCACTCCAGAGAGTACTAAGGGAGATAACATTTATTTCATGAAATTCATTAAAGACCACAATGTCAGATTGAAATTGTCTGCCAAACAAAATTATTTGACTATCTTGAGTTGGCAATGCAGGATGATATCAAGCTAATTATTATAGCATGTCGCAAAATGACCGGTGACTGTCATACAGTAGTGCAGTTAGATTTCAAGCTTTGTACGAAGTTTTGGCATTATTGTTTTAACAGAAATAAGAAATAACACATTTAAAGGTTAAAAAATCATTCTTCATTTTATTTTTTAAACAATGGAAAACACATTAAATATCAAGTCTTTTAAAAAAAAATATATTTAAAAATGTGTTATACATAAAATAAACATTTTAGAAATAAAATAAACATTTTAGAAATAAAATAAACATTTTAGAAGTAAAATTATGCATTTATGAATGAAATGCTGTTAATTCAAAAGTCCTGACACCTTTAAGTTCATAGTACAAGTCAAAGTGTAGTCTCAAAGACAAACAGTTTTTCTATACATTAAGCTGAAACTCTGAGTATCATCACATTCTATTGTAAGAAATCTAGAAACCAGTTTCACCTGTTTATGTCTTGAGAGGTATTTCACATTCCATTAGTTCTGTCTCTGTACACTGTGTTCTCTTCTGAGATTTGTTCGTAAAGAAATTAAAAAGAGGTATTAAAAGTAACAATAATCCACCAATAATAGCTACTACACCTGCTGTATATATACCTGGTTCATATCCACCATATACTTCATCTAGATATCCTACAATATAATTCAATATTTAAATACAGATTGACATCTATTCATAATGGCAGTCAAACATGGCTCAATGAACCCCAATTAAAACTTTAAAGATAATTTTTCCTGAACAATTTTGAGATTTGGAATTGAAATATAGTGTTATGTCCTTCCTTTCTGCTCCTGAATGAACACCACATAGTGTGCAACAACAAAAATCTTGCTTAAATAATAGCATACACTTTATCAGCGTCCAAGAAAACAATGTCAATACATTAGATTTATGATTAGTATACAATTATTAGATATGACATACCTGCTACAGGAGGTCCTAAAAAAGCACCAATTCCATTAGCCATGAGCAAATATCCCAGTCCATGTCCTAAATTCTCAACCCCAAGAATATCTGTCACTAATACTAATAGTAAGCCAAGAGTTATTCCAAAACAAAAGCCATAAACAAATCCAACAGCCAAATAATTAGAATAACTTGAGATCCATACAAAAATAAAACAACTAATACCCGTCAATATATTACTTAGACTAAATAAAAAGATCCTATTAATAATAGTTATATTTCCTAATATAGCTCCAGCAACACCTCCAACAAATGTTCCAAGACCACAGATAGTTACAATAAAGGCAGCATCTATCCGTGGAATTCCTTGAATTACCAAATAATCAGGAATAAATGTCATAGTTACACCACATGTAAAATTCCAACATACATTATTTAAACAATACACAACAAAACCAAAATCATGAAAAATAAAGAAATGTTTTTTAACGATGTTCTTCAGACACAAAACAAATTTAGGTTGAATTTTTACTTTTTCCTTTTCTTCAGAGATCATTTTTTCTGAGCAATTTTGAGATTCTTTGAGGAATGTGCCTTCAGAAGAGATAGGTACTGGCCTCAATAGTGCAGCAAATACAACTATATTCAGATTCATGGCACTTACAATATATAAAGATCCCTTCCAGGAGTATTCCTCTATGAGATAACCAATAACAATAGGCATCACAGCTGATCCTAATCCTGAACCACTTGTAGCCACACCAGTTGATAAACTTTGGTATTTATTATAATACAATCCACTTAATACATGTGATGGTGTATATGCCATACAGCAACCCACAGCTGAAAGATTTCAATTTCAAAGAGTCAAACAAAATTATGGTGCTTTATGCAATATCATAGCCACGAAGGCAAGTTTTTCAGGCAAGGCATTAAAAAAAAAATTTATTGAACGGCCCAATTTTATTTTATTTTTTTGGAATTTAAAAATGAAATCATATCTTTGCCCGAATATCCTATACTATAACTATATTTTTTTAAATTGACAGCCCGATTGTATATCCATTAGCCGAAAATCTCACCCAACATCGATTGAAAACAGTACATCCCGTAAATTAAACTGAATACTTGTGGATCTCCTAAGGGGGGTAGTATCATGTGTTCTAAAAAGAGTGAAAATACTCTGCCAATAACAATAGTGTTTCTCTCGAAGAGTTTGCAAAACTCTCATAACTAAGTTAGAAATTCGGGCAACCTCAGATATCCCCCCTACACCCCCCCACCCTCCCCTGGGACGTAAACCTGGCTCCGCCACTGTATTCATCATAGACATATTCATCACAGATATATTCATCATAGACATATTCATCATAGATCAAATATGCCTATACTATCAGTGAAGTAATTCTATGTAAGCATATAAAAGGCAAGGCCTATCATTTGAATGCCAGAATATCAATTTAAATTAAAGTTAGAGAGCATTGGTTTGGACATAGCTCTTGATGGGATGTTCTTTGTTAAATGAATCTTCATCCTCAGTATCACTGTCTCAATTTATTCAATCCCCATGGCATGTTAATGGAAGTTGATATATAGAAATATATATATAGATATATATATAGATATATACAAAGAAATTAAACGTAACAATATTCCAGATTAGAAGCTGCAAGAACTGTACTTACCATTTATAATACCATAGAAGAAATACAGAGCGGGTAAATAAGGTAATACAGGCATCATCAAAACACCTACAAAACTCATAAAACCACCAACTATTGCCAGAGTTCTATGGGTGAATTTTGTCATTAAAAAACTAACTATTGGTCCTGGAAATAGAACAAAAAAGATTCATAACTCTCTTTTTACCTAATGCTACACTAAGACTTTTTATATACAATAAATTCCAGAACTTGCTGATCCTGCTCAACATTTAATTAATCATGGCAAATATCATTAAAGATAGTTTGCCAGGAAAGGTAACATACGCCCACTAACAGCTGTCAGAAATGATAACAAAGTCTGTAGTGGTTTATTATGTGAAACCAATCATCCGATTGTTACTAATTTCAAGCTTTACTGATATCTCATTCAAAACCTATTCATACTCTTTTCTTTTAGAACTGGTAACAAGAAAACTTTCATATTATAGACTTTTGTTTATTGTAGATTACTCATGGTTGTTTTTTTAACTTAATACTAACTATGCTAACTTCACCTTATCTCGTATTGAACATTTATCTCTTTATTTGTGACCTTGGCCAGTGCTTTACATAGTTTTTTAGGAACTTCTTCACTCTTAACACTAAGTTTCATCAAGATCGGATAAAAAATGTAGTCTCTATCAGGCCTTAAAGCGAGATTAGATGCAATGAATTAATTCAAGGGAAATAACTGCAAAACCATTCATTCAATTATTACCTATTTCGAACATGACTGAGATCTTGTCCATATATACATGTACATGTATACCTAGTTTCATCGAGATCAGAAAAACAATGTAGCCTTTATTGTGCCTACAAGCCGAATTAGACGCTTTGAATCAATTCAAGGACAATAACTCCAAAACCATTCATCCAATTATTACCATTTTTGAACTTGAGATCTCATCAATGTATACATGCATACCAAGTTTCATCAAGATCGGATAAAAACTGTAGCCTCTATCACCCCTTCCAGAAGGGAGAAGTGGTTTCATCAAATGCCTTTTGGGTTTTTTCATTGGCATTTAGTATTTTGGCTTTTTCATTAGTGAAAAAAACATAACTATTGTCTTTTGAGAATTGACATGCGTCATAGAGTCTGCAACTTAGGCAGTGCTTCTGAAAAGTTTGTTTCGTAAATCTTCACTTGAAACATTATTTTGTCATTGAACATTTTACACGTGACTTGACAAATGGGCATTGAATTTAATTATGACTGGTTTGCCCTTCCGTAGATTTGGCGTAAAAAATTAATGGCTGGGAATTTTTAAATAAAACTTTCAGATACCTTAAGGGACTTGTTTCTCTAGATTTGGTGATCAGTTTTCACAAAATTGAGCAAAACAATTTTTTTGACCTACAAAAAAAGTGGAATGTTCCTTAAACATATTATCACCCATACTTTACTCTTAATATTTCAGATGAAAACTTACCTGATCCTAGAAACATTCCTATATTTATTGACAAAATAAATGACACTGCAAATGTGTCATTGTCAAAATAATCTAAGAATTCCACAGTATAAACACCCATAGCAAAACTGGTACCAAATGCCAGGAATTGAATCATAAATGCTGAGAAGATGATAATCAAACCCCATTTTCCACCTTCCATGTTTATTTCAGACTACTTATTTTCAGTCACCTGGTAATATAACTATTGCTATTCCAAACTGTAATATATATAAGGTATAACAGATAACGAAAGTAGGTTGAATAAGTTAAGGCTCATTTTAAAAACTAAGTATCATTTTTACAGATAGGGTTCATTGCCTAGGCAACTAATACATATAACATGTGCTTTATTAATTAAAAGCTTACATTTTTTTTTCTAAATACTGTGTAATTTGCTTAGTATGCTTCAGAAAATGATTAGACAATATTATTTAGTTAAAAATATTTATAGTTACATGGGAAAATGAATAATTATTAAATTCATTACATCCATATGCCAGTGAAGCCAAAATTAATAGATACACATAATGTTTGTGATGTTTTTGTGTTTGCAAACATTTGAATAAAGATAAAAAGCCAAAATCTCTCTTCTGCTTTCATTTTAAATTTAATGAGGCAAACGCAACGCACCACTCCCCTCTCCACCCTTTATATGTGAAAAAATTTAACAAATAATGTTTGTTTACATACTTTATGTTGCGTTTGCAAACATTTCTAAGATTACATACAGTAAACATTGCACAATCAAAATATGAATTATCACACAAAGATAGTTCATTACTTAAAAATATGCGACTAGGCCCACTATTAAATTGTCAGGTGTGTCACATTATCATTTTAGATTAAATAAATAAACACTGTAAATTTTAAGATGTGAAAAGACATATCAATGGACAACTGTTAACACAATTATACGTACCGTACAGAAATGTAAGGATACAAGAACCATACACAGCTCTAAAAATCAATTTTTATTCCTTTCCATCTATATGCAAAACTTATGGTGCAAAGAAAATTTAACAGGAATGTTTGTCAATTAATTTATTCAATGAATAAACTAAGGAATAATAAAAAGCATTAAATTTCCAGACAGCATTTAATTGTTTTCCATAACCAAGTATTATCATTATGTTAGTTCACTAGACCTACAGTCTCCACAAATTTAAACACATCAAAGATTTAACTACAATTTTAATTAATCCTTTTCCTTATGTCTAGTCTCTCACACCACTGCAAAATTTCACATTCATTCTATGGTCAGTTCTCTCTCTTAATTTCCTGAAACACTTTTTGACCATTTGGGTGTACTAGGAATATTCTCATAAAGGGGTGTTTTAGTAGCAGAGTTATCTGTCCAATTGGCAAGATAATATATACAATAAATAATTGAATGAAAAATTCATTAAAGCATGTTATAAATACTATATATAATAAGCATAATGTGCCTGTTATCAGAATAATGTCAACTAAGCGTGACAAATTATTATTCATATTAGCGGTACTCATTTTGTCAATCAGGCTATATCACATTCATTAAATAAAATAAAAAGATAGCTTTCCCATTGGCAACTGTCCGAAATAATAACAGTCTTGACTTTAAAACAAATTATCTCATATTAAAGAACTTCTTAATGCATTTGTAGTTTTGAAACTTTGAATTAAGTATTGTCTCATCAATTGAATGTCAGTAATTTATTAATGATATTTGGTTTTATAAAAGAAATCCTGTTACACTTTTTTTGTTGTGTAGCAACTATGGTATTAATGTCAAATTTATATACTTACAGTCACATGAGTTACATTAATACTGGACTTTTCACCTCTTGTGAATAACATTGGTAAACTTTTCAAAGTGACAGGTTTGCCATCCGCTTGACCAATTCAACCTTCGTCTAAGAAACAGGATTTATTTTTAGCTAAGCTAATCAGTGATAGTGTTTACAGATCACCGTTTAAATTTGAGCTTTCAAATCGTATACGCTTGAAAGTTAAAATGACGACTAGTCTTTTTTTTTTCAGACTCATATAGAAAATGTATAGAAAAGACATATGGAAAGAGAAAGTGAAATTACTCTTTCGAGGTATTTTTGGTGGAATTATGTGACTTTTGTACATTTCTAGTAGTTTTGAAGACCATTTGACACATATTCAACACAAAATAAATAATATAAAGTGATCGTGTGCAAAGTAACTTCAAAAAAAGTTAAAAGTAACAATATAAACACTGTAAGACTATGTCTGTGAAATGTGAGCATACACAAAGTTATTCAGAAAATTTCTATCAGCCATTTAATAACCAGGACAATCATAGCTCGGTAGCCATTAGACCAGACCGAAACACCTGAATTTATTCCAGCCTCTGATAGCTATTTTGACAGTTTTCGGCTGGTGTAGAAACATAAAACTAGGCTATGTTTTATGGGACTGGGAATGGTTTGCATCACCGAAGGTGCAGGGGTGGTTGTTAAACTTATTTAAATTCTCCAAACCCAGATATATTTGGAAAGATTGATATTTTTGTAGTTCAGTCATAGGCCTACCATCATAATCCCCCTATGGCATTAACGTCATGTCTGCAGTTCAATCAATTTTTCTAACTCTACTCCATCCGATAACAGTCAAAATATGTACCATAGGCTGATGTTTTGGGCTATAGTAGGTAGACATCATCACCCTTTTCTGCAACTGCAGTACGGTACCTGCAAGTTTTTGTAACCTGTTACTTCCAATACTTTCTTGATAAATCTATGGAGCAAGTTGGAGAAAATTTATCGTCACAAGTAGCTCTACAGTCATCACACTTTCCTTTTAATGAGTATTATTTTTAAATATTTAAATTATTACCTCGTCTGTTTCTGCACCTTTTCTGATATACATTATATTAATTAATATGTCCACTGATAAGATCTAGATCTAGATCTATCGACACCGTATTGTATTGATTACAAAAAATGTTGATCTTGCCATAGAACTGATCAAGCCTATTTTCAATGTATGATTGAAATTTCTAGATTAAGCGTACATAAATAATTTATCATGCTCACCTTACTGAAGGCTTTTTGAAATACATGAATAGACACATTTTACATTTCATCACGAAACACAAAGGCATTACACTACTGAATCAGTTATCCTCTTTTTCTTGACTAGTCGGATTACTTTTAATAAGACCTTCACATTAAACCTTCATGACCTTCACCTTTGAGCTGAATGTGTCAGATTTGACTCAAGAAGTTAATATTTGTGGTGTGCATGGAGTACACATATTTAGACGAAACGTCCTGAATATGGACGAATCAACTAGGACCAATCGGGCAATCGTCATCTCGAAGGCGCACTGTGTTTGTATTCAGTTTTAATAAAATTTTCATGCATTAACCCCGTTTTTCCTTCCTGAAGGCATACGACTCTCCGTGGTGCTAATGTATCCTCACGCCTAGAAACACAATATCATATGGACCTAGCATGTGTTGAATAATAATACCCCAATTATAATAAAAACCCTATCGAAATAATAATTTTAGTTTACACTTGAAAAACAAGGGAAAACTTCAAATGAATGAAAAAAATCGATAATTATATTAAAATTCCTAAATTAATTTAGCCTACTGAATTTGAAACGTATATATTATAATACCTTGTGCCTGTATTACTGTGACCGAAATACAGTATGACCGTATTACTGTGTCCAGAATAGGCCTATCTTGCGCCCGCATTACTGTGAGTAAAATACCTTGTGCCCGTACTGTGACTAAAATACGGTATTTTGTCTTTGAACATTACACAGATATATCGTGTCCTATGTATTAGACATAAGTACATAGCATCTTATTCTGAATACGATTGACCTCTTACTGTCATAGTACCGGACATTTTATGTTAATGTTATATTTTGGTTGTATCTGACCTTCAGTCATAAAACTCTAGAAGGTAAACATTCAACCTTAAGCGCATTACTGAATAATAAAACCAAGTTTCGTCAAAATGTTATCATTGGGTGATAACAAACGCTTATGCCAGGTTTCGTCAAAATCCGTCAAGAATTATGCCTTCTATAGTGTTTACATGCTAAAAATTGAATGCGTTTTCAAGAATAAGGGCAATAACTCATACTAAATGTTTTTCGATTCTTCTGATTTTCAATAGGATTCATCCTTGGGTTATTAGGAACTCTCACGCCAAGTTTATTTTGGATGAAAATAATAAGCGATTGGCGAATTGGGAGCTGGATGATTTGAAGGAAGATATATCGAGGAAAACAGAGAAATTGAGAAAAGCTCAAGATTATACATGGAGTAAGAAGGGTAATCAAATGCAGTTTCAATTTAATTCAGAGATTTTAGACAATGTTAGGCAGATCAAATGGGCTATTGAAAATCGGAAGCTGGATTATGCTTCTTCCTTGTGCTCTGAAGAATTGGACCGTATTTCGGCGAGGAATAAGCTAATTAAGCCGATTCGTCTGAATATGGTTGGGAGAGAGTCAAGCACTACACCACTAATGAGCTGGCTAGTGATTCAGAGGATGACAAAGGAATTTCCTGGGCTGAAAATCGTGCTCTTAAGAAAATTAAAAAGAGAAGAGGCAAAGGAAGAATAAGTTTTCCCCTTATCAAAGGCCTGATGCTCATTCAAGGTCGTTTTCGGATCAAAAGTCTTTTAGTAATCAGTCTACTAATTTCAATTTTCGTCAGCCTTTTCAGTCCTTTCGTGGAGCAGGAAGAAATGGAGCATGTTACCACTGTGGAGCCTTTACCCACTGGAGATGAGAGTTCCCAGTTCTCAACACCTCACAGGCACCAAAGGGAAAGCCGCAGACTGTTACATCTCAGCAGTTCAGTTGAAGACGGTGTTAAAAATTTATCAGATAAGTGTACTTTTGAGTCTTTAACTAATGACTATTTTGAATATGAACAGGGTGTAGCTAACATCCGAGTGAGGGGTCGTTTGAAGCAGAATATTGGATTCTGGCGCAATATTGGTGCTAGTGGTTTTGTCTTAGACGTTATTGAGAATGGTTATAAAATTTCTTTTTACACAACACCACCACCCATGAATTTACCTAATAATAAGTCTGCTTCCGAGAATTCCGTCTTTGTTACTGGTGCTGTAAACCAAATTGACCACCCCCCCCCCTCCCCCCCTTTACCATATGCCGACTTACAAATTAAGCACACATACCATCTCATATACTAAAAACCTAAACATCCTACATTTCATAAATTCTTACACCAAAAAAGACCTAAACTCCCTACATTTCATAAATTCTTACACCTATACTCCCTTACATTTCATACACCAAAAAACACCTTCAATCAATTTCCTACATTCCATCAAAAAAGCATATTAAAAATACCCTTATATAAAATAACATAACATTTTTAATGGCCTCGTTTTAAGTAATGTTATTTTTAGTAGGGAGATAACTCTTTTTTTGGATAAAAAAAAAATAGGCCACAATTTTCTACTAAATTTTCAAACCTTAAAAATGGCAAATAAAATATTAGATCCAATCTTTAGATTATACGATCCGATTCATTTAACAAGAAAAAAGAGGATTATATTATCATCTCACCGACTGTTGGTTCTAAATCCCAATTGAATGATGGTGGTACCTTCGAAATAAATTCATTATCGAATTGGTTGCTTCTTTCCGATGCTTATTTCAGATGTGATTTCAAAATTAAAGATGGGACTCCCAATGAAAATCGTGTACCACAAACTAATACAACGTTAGAAAACAATTTCTTTCCATCTTCATTTAGCGAGATGGTTTTGGAAGCTGGTTCAAATCCGATAGAAACAATTAAACACCCTGGGGAATTCGACACAATGTTGAAAACAGTTTTATATCCTAAAGATTTCGATTCAGTCTTAGGTTGGATACCCGATGTTGGCGATGGAAGTGTTTTAAAAGAACCGGTAAGAAATCTTGCAAATGATGCTGATTTAGCTAGAGTGAGAGTTGTTGCTCGAAACACAATAGAAAGAGAAGCACGAGCAGCTAATCATGGATTCGAAAAACGAGTACTTCAGTATAATAATGTTGTTGAGAATAATAAGTGGGGTAATTACGTAAATTGGAAATTATATCCTTTATTCGGTCTGTTGGAACATAGAAAAGTTTCCATAGGGTTACCATATAAAATTCATCTACAAAGAGAAATCAACGATGATAAGATATTTTTTGGAGAGAATGGTTCAGATGCAAAATTAGAAATAACGAATCTCCAACTTTACATACCTGTCATAACACCATCAATTGAAGTAGAACCGAGAATATTCAACTCGTTAACTAAAGATATTGAAATAGCTTTTCTTCATCGTAATACGGTAGGTAGTATGACTTTAACTGGAGAATCCACCACGTGGCCAATCACTAACACTATTAAACCAGCAAGATATTTAATGGTTGGTTTCAAGAACTGAACAGACTCTCAAACGAATAACAATAATGTCTCAGAGTGGCAATGAACCAAACTCAAGATCCTTTAATCCATAAAGTTCAAGTAAGATTAAACAACGATAACTATCCTAACCAACCTTTAACAATTAATCCAACCACAAAGGATTATAATGAATTGTATAGAAACTATAAAAAATATGTGTGAATTATTTGGAAATCTACCTCAGTTTGAATATGTAGATTTTGCACTTCCAATCATCCAATCTTCTGTTTTGATCTTTCAGCTCACCAAGAAGATCTTTTCAAAACAGGAGTCAACATAAATATTCATATTGAAAAAACACAAGGAGAAAAACAGGTTATTGTTTACTACTCGAAGAAGCAAAACATTTAATTAAAATATCAGATAGAAGAATGATAAGAATTGAGTAAAAAATACACCCTTAAAATTGAAACCAGAAACTTTAGTTATGAAAATAATAGAAGCTATTGAAACAGCTTCACCAACTGTAATAACTGTCAATGGTAAAAAAATCAACATAACTAAAAAAACTTATTGATAAATATAAATATTGTAAAGTTAGAGACTTAGAAAGAATTGACGCCAACGCAAAGGAAGGTGAATTTTCAAGATCGAAAGCAGTTGAAACATATTTAAATAAAGTTATTCCTGATGAATATGAAGATTATCCAATCATACAAGATATAGATTTCGAAGATATGGTGGCTCTGGACAAGGTATAGCGTATAAATATGAAGATTATACAGAAGATTATCAAATCATACAAGAAATAGACGAATTTGATGATATGGTGGCATCTGGACAAGGTATAACGTTTTTATCCGACAACATCGAGGAACTACTTAATAGATTACGAGTAATATTAGAGGCAATGAAGGAAGGACATCGATCGCACAGACAATATAATAAAGTAAATTGTATATTAAAAAGACTCATAGAAAAAGGTATTATAGATAAAATGATTATAAAAGCGTGATTAAAAATGTCAAATAAAGAACAACTATTCGTCCTCACCTCAAATAAATCAGACATTAAATTGTCTCTAGATTATGAGTACGAACTCGATCGCAATCAAGAATATGAATTGGGATTAAAGTATTTTTCTGTTTACAATTCCATTAGAAATATCAACGAAAAAAATAACCAAATAAAATATCAACAGATAATGGAGTTTCATTCAAAACCAAAAGTTTACTACCAGGAAGCTACGAATACATAGCCATTAACGAATACCTATCTGAATATGGAGGAAGTGTCCATGGTAAAAACAATATCGAATTCGAAGGTAATTTGAATCTGAACAAAATAAAATTGATATTAAGAAATAATAGTCAAGTTGATTTCAACGTAGAAAATTCATTGCGTTACTAGGATTTGATAAACAAATATACACCCAATCCACTTTAGCACCACACAAAAAGCTAATATCGAGAATGATATCGATGTGATAAATATACATTGCAATTTGATAAACGGTGGATTTTTCAATAAATACAAACGTCAGATTATTTACAGTCTACCAACATTCACTGTACAGATTGGATGTAGAATTATAGAGAAACCGTTTCAAACGACATATTTACCACTTAATTCCTTTATGATTAAAGATATAAATCTGGAAATCAAAGATGGTAAAAATAGGTTTATAGATTTTGGTAACGAGGAAATTGTTATTCAACTTCATTTAAAACAAAAAAATTAACACTCTTCATTCTCTTCTTGAATAGTAAGGTAATCGAAATCATCAAATTAGTAGTTTTCATCCAAGCACATCTCCTCCCCAGAGTTGTAAGGATACATTTTTCCTTCATCATCTGGTGCTTTTCTCTTCACTAAATTCAAATAACTTCTAAATTTTTTAGTTTGTTTTTCATTAGGAATAACTATTCCATCAGTAAAACTCTTTCCCCATGGTTTATCAAATTCATTCGTTACATCATGACCACTAGCTAATCGAATATAATCGTCTACCTTAATCTTATAGTTAGATTATCCCTAAAACGTTTTTTTTTCTTTTAAAACACCATCGGAAGTTAGAATAATATTATATTTAACTTTTGGCACTAAATATAAACCAAATATGATTCCACCATCACCATAATCATTCTTTCCTTTACAATAATCATTTTCAGACACCAACCCCGCTTCATTTAATTTATCCCAATTGCTAGACGAAATGTATAAACTATCAGTATCCGTATAGTATATTTCAGGCTTATAAAATCCATCTATGTAAGGGAGAGTAGCCTCAAATTATACATTCTGTAGGAGAATTGATCTGTTCTCACACAGAATGTATAGTTTGAGGCTTCTCTCGGACTTAAACCATAGCCACCCATTATTATTATAATGGACAGTTTTTCAATTAAAAAGTGATCTATTTTCTGATATTACAAGTGAAGATGAACTGCCGGTTCAAGATAAGAAAGCTGACATGAGATTTGGAACACCGTTGCATCAAAACGATTTGAATAATTTAGTGAAAGATGGCTTATGTAAGAAAACTGAAAGTAAATCAAAGTGGGCGGTGAATCTTTTGCAAAAATGGAGAGCTCACAGAGATGGACTAAATGTGGAGCATTGTGACATCCTTAACCTATCAAATGAACATCTTAATATGTTACTCGGATATTTTATAGCAGAAATCAAAAATGAAAAAGGTGATGATTATAAACCAAATACATTGTATGAAATTATTATTTCGATCCAGTATTATATGCGACAGAATGGTCGTTTTCTTTCTATGATGGTGATTTTCGTGGAATGAAGGCTGTTTTGGATGCAAAAATGAAAGATTTGAACCGTCAGGGAAAAGGTGTACAGAGGCGACAGGCCGATATTATAAATAAATATTACGTAATCTTCGTACGGGTGCATTGTCTCAACTGACAGTCAAACTAGAATAATTAGAATATCACGAGGATGTTTCAAAGACAAATCAAGGAGGCTTACAACATCGAAAAATGACACCGAAAATAACCAGAGCATATGAAAACAAAGAATACCCTGAGAGATGTCCAGTGAAAATGTATGAAAAATATATGAGCTTGAGGTAAGTTAATTATAAACTGTTAACTCCAATTGTGAATGCGATATGCTCACTGAATACTGTTCATTTGTTGCAGAAAACTGTTCAAAAGTTGTGTGAAAGTGCAGGATTAAAAGGTCATTTCACGAATCATTCTTTACGAGCAACTGCAGCAACTCGACTATATGCAGCGGGCGTTGACGAACAACTTATTGCAGAAAAGACGGGACATAAATCGAATGCTATTAGTGAACAGTCAGTGAACTTCATTGGTTTGATCTGACAATGGTTGCCATCCTAGCTGGAATTGTTGAGGTAGGGGAAGTCGAATCGATTTGCGACGGCCTAAAATATTCCGTGACCACTATAGCCTATGGATATCTGCAATGATCAAGAGTTGGACATGAGATTTCGCTTTGACAAAGCTGGGATTCTCTTCACCACAGAACTACTGGCTATTGAAATAGAGCCTCATACCTACAGAAACCATGCAATCCCTCCTTTTCTACAGGGTTTTCTTGCTCTGAGGTATTATGCATGTTGTAGTGTCCTATAGGCTATTTTTAGACACTAAAGATACACCAAAGCACAGTATGTCGGATTGTCCATCGAGTTACCGGAACTCTTCTCAGAAGGATTAATGAATTAATCAGCTTTCTTGCCAACAAATGACTATCAAAGCTGCCTTTTCTGAAATCTCTAATTTCCAAAATGTAAAATGTAAAAGATATCTTGCCAGACAAGGTAATATACGCCAACTGGTAGCTTTGTAATTGAAAAAAAATATTTGGCAGTACACTGGTATTTACACTCAAAACATCACAGCACACTGGTATTTACACTCAAAACATACTATTTTTAAAATTTCTAAATACTTTATTGTCAATAACCTGCGCTAAAAATTCTTAACTATCTACATTTTTAAACAAATATACAATTAACATACTACAGAGTGGACATCATGATTTAACATGGTTCATGATTTAAACTTTCTTTTACACCTTTTTGTGACATTTACTTACACAATTACTCTACTGGTACACAAGACAATACATGACACTAAAAGCATAATATAGATTTCATATTGAAGGAATACAGTCCCTTATTTCAATATTCAACTACTAAAATCACAGTTATATATTGTAAAGATAATAATCTATACAGTCATCTATTATAATCTTGTTAAAAGTCCCATTTCCCATATCAAATCACTTGCATATGCATACAAAAAATTCCAGGTAAGATTTTGAGAATTACTATAAGTCTTATTGGCATTTTCCTGCTACAGCATCTGAAGAAGATTTGTTGATCAAAAATAGTGTAACAAAATTCTACAATATCATGTGCAGCACAAATAAATTGCAATGCAATGCTAAATGTTGAGAATACTTTAGCATACCTTCGAGGTTGGAAGAGATGTTGTAGCTCTAGTGGGAACAGCCCCTAAAATGGAGTAAAAATTACTACCTTGGTTTAAAAGTTTAAAGAACTGTATTCCTTTACAATCAGATTTCCATTATATAATGACAATGTAAACATAGTTCTATATCTCTAAAATACTCTATAAATAAAAACTCTATATGTATATATAAACAAGTAAAAAGCATTGTAAATAACCCTGTAAAAATATAGAAAGCACTGTATTTCACAATCAAAATAAATCTACTAATATACATCACAAATAAAAACTTCACACAGGATAGATAGTAGTCTGCCAGACTTTGTTTGTCTACACTTAAAACTTCTACAAGCAGAAAAAACGGAATAATTAAACAGTGATAGATAATTAATTGGTAATCAAAACATCAAAAGAAAAAAAAAGCTCCAAATAATTTAAAAGGTTTGTAAAGAGGTTTTCTAGCCTTTTTATGTGTATCGGGGACACCTTTGAGTTCTATTTGGGACATTTCAATTCTTTGTCCGATGCCTGCGGTTCCTGCCATTCCAGAAAGACTTAACCTGAAATGACGCAGTTTCCGCAAGAGAATTCTTTAATAAGTCTTATATTGCTTAGTTTTAATGAAATGGAAGAGTTGTATGATATTGAATGCAGTTAAAACTAAGCAATATAAGACGTAGTAGAAAGTTTAATAAGGCAACGGTGAAGCAAAATGTGAATGAGTCGGCAATTTTTTGTTAGATATGCCACCCTTTTGTAAGGGGAGATATATATAACATATAACATAACATATATTATGTTATTGTGGTCAGGTGTTAGGTTGGTTACGAATTCTCTTGTGGGAGCTGCGTTATTTTCAGTTAACTCTGTCTGGAATTGCAGGAACCACGGGTATCGGACAAAAAATTGGAATGTCCAAAATAGAACTCAAAGGTGTTCAATAAAACATAAAAAAACATAAAAAGGCTACAAAACCTCTTTACAATCCCTTTAATGCAAATTCTTGTTTAATTTTTTTTTTAAATAAACAGTTATCTTTCTAAAGGCTTTCTACGGCAAGAGTACCACCAAATTTGATGTTCCTAAATAAAAAAACAATATAAAATAGAAACTTGAGAGCAATGACTATCATGAACACAAATGGTAAGCAATTATGCAAAATAATTGAGAAAACAAAAGGAAAGAAAAAAAAAAAACCACACATTTTACTATTGTCTTACCAAGTAAATGATTATTTTTTTGGTTCTTTTTCGGAGAATTGGAATAGCAACCTCAAAATAGTACTGTAGTATAGAATGTCTTCTTTGTTTCTAAAAAGGAAAATTTTCAGACAAAAAATTTTTGACTTTTTTTATGGTTGAAACTTCTTGGAGAGAAATGTGTTTCTTTTCAATGGAGAGAAATGTGTTTCTTTTCAATGTAAATGTACAAATATTATTTTTTTTATCAACACAAAGACATTTTGAGACAGTTCTGTTTTGATGCTGATATTTCAATTCTTTTTGCTTTGCTCAGACTTAGAATATTCTTAATGAAATAACACTTGCTAAATATTTCTTTACATATCTGAAATTTCATGCATTTTAATGATTTATGACATATCATTTAGAGAAATCTTTAGAAGAGTATCTTTTGTGAACGTTTTATTATTTTCAATAAAATATCTCAGATGTTTGGCCATTCTACCATACAATTCATATTCTGCTTGCCAATCCATATCAGCAGTTAGTTCTGGACTTTCATTAAACCTCTTTGGTTTTGGACAACCATAATGATTTTTATTTGCTTGATGTTGTTTGGGTTGTTTGCCTTGTTTCTGTAAGTTGATATTCTCATGAACACGTTTACAAACAAAACATTCAAATCCATCAACAAAGTTTATGTCTTTATCGGACCAATTTTGATTATCATCAATTTTCCAGTCTCTTTCAGCTAATATTTGTTTTAGTATTTGATTCGTGACACCAGTTTTCTTCCAATCTAAATATTTCTCATATTCCTCATTATTATTATCGAGAAATGTGAGATATTTAGCTAGTTCTTCCACTGTCTTATAATCATTGATAATTATTGCTGAATGATTGGATGGTAGTAGTTCCTGAAAATATAACAAAGACATGGTACCATCCTTTACCCTGACTTTGTGCAATTTTGGGGGTTTGATTTGAGTCTTGAATATATGTAAATAGAAGTACTATAAATGTACGAAAATCACATAATTCCTTCAAAAATATCTCAAACAAGGAATTTCTTTTTCCTATTTCTATATATGGTAGTGTCTCATAAAAAGATGACTCATCGTTTAAACTTTTCAAACATGGATAATTCTGGACAAGTGGATTTGAAGGCTCAAATTTTGACGATGAGCTGTAAACACTATAACTGATTGGCTTAGCATAAAAATTCCTATTAAGCATGATTGGTAAAAAAAAGGTGCATATGTCGAATTATCTGCAATCTTATGACTCCATCTTATTTTTGAGTTGATCAAACCTTTACCACTGGGTCCAGTAGCTTGTACATGTGACCAACATATTTGAACAAACGGACTTCTTATTTCTTCAATTGCACTAAGTCATAATGAAATAGATATGTCATGAATTGTTGAAGATAAGTAAATATTTCAAAAACTGTATATACTTGCAAGGCCATATTTCCATGGTTACTAATTAGAGGCCCATTTATTTTGAACTTTGATTTATATAAAATTATTGACAGAGAAAATATACACCAAAACCTATACTAGTTATATCTGATAATATTTGACTGTAATAATCAATCTCATTTTTGTTAAATGGAAGTGCATTTATTTGTGATAAAAGTCCTCTCTTGGCAAATGGTATATATTTGCTTAAATATTTGCTTAACCAACACAATAAAATTGAATTATCTATCCATAGTATGTTTTAGAATCAACAAAGTTTTGCTATCCATAGTACTTTTCAGAATCAAAATAGGATACACCCTATAATCTTTAAATGACATTTAGAAGTAGGTAGAACATCCTTGCTGAAGGATACACCCTATTAAGATTCGAAAAATATATATTATGAGTTATTGCTCTTGTTTTTGAAAACTCATTCAGTTTTTCGCTTGTAAACACTTGCAAAGGCACAATTCTGGAGTGATTTTAACAAAATTTGTTGTGAGTGTAAACATTCAAGGAAGAACCCTATTGAAAACAAAAAAAAAAGAAAAATATTTAATATGAGCTATTGCCCTTGGTCTTGCAAATTTTTAGCTAGAAAACATTCTAGAAGGCACAATTCTCGAAAGATTTTAACGAAACTTGGTGAAATTGTTAATTATCATCCATGGATAACACTATTGAAAATTGAAAAAATTTTATATGAGTAAACACTAAATGACAAGATGTTTACAGAATTTTGGCAAAACTAAGCAATATTGTTCAGTGTCACGCAAAAGATGGTTGAATATTACAAGCTAGTGAATGTTACTGTACTGTAAAATATTTATATTTAACAATCATAAACATAATTAAGTCAGTAAGAAAACAAATCTATAACAAATAATGCAATCAATGGAATGTGATCACATAACGTAAATAACACTATTGATGACTGATGGAATTATTTCACTCTTTTCATTTGTTATTACACAAATGCTAATAATGTAGATAGTTTTCTTAATGAACAAGTTTCTCAGTTACATGACATTACTTTTAAGACAGCTCTCTGTGTTGTGGAGGAATAATGTTACCAATAACGTATAAAATCTTGTTAGTGATTTTATTTCTCAGTATAAGTTATGCACCAACCAAAAATATTAATGTGTTCAGCAGGAATGACTCTTATAAATTGATGATTCAAATTCTGAAAGATCTTCAGTGGAATAACGTGGTAATATTTCATGACGACATAAATCAGTGTTCCTCCTTTGTATCTGACTTCTTCAATTACTGTGACAAAACAGGTATACAGACAACTACTTTCGAGATAAGTAATAACAGTAATACCAAACTTTTGGATTATTTAAAGAATATACATCATCAACATTTTCCTGACATTCATGTTTTATATATTTCCTGTATGTCTGAAACATTATTTTTCAATACTATGGCAACAGTGAATGACTTTGATTTTAATTCAAATAGATGGACAGATTTCAGAAGTAGATCACAGTGGATTCTGGTTACTTCAAAAAATGTGGAATCTTCTTTGGAAGGTATATTAACAGATTTGTGTCATGTTTCTCTTTTAAATCTAGACAGACATATCAATTTTCTTCAACTCAAGACATTAACTAAAACTAAACATGGCAATCTGTTTCAATGTGTTGATAGATTACGGTTAAATGATATATTTCCAAATGTAAAATATAACTTTAATGGACGGAAAATGTTGATAGGGGCGTCACCATTTCAACTTTATTCCAAGAATATAATCAACAATCAGACTGTTTATAGTGGACCAATGATAAACATACTAAGTTTAATGTCACGTTTTTTAAACTTTACCTTTGAGTTTTGGGAACCACCTGATGGTGACTGGGGAATTAGAATGCCAAACAAAAGTTACACAGGTCTGTTAGGTAAAGTAGAACGGAGAGAAGTAGATATACTGTTTGCTGAATATATTGTTAATAATCAAAGGAGTGAAGTTATGGACTTTATATATCCTCCTTTGGTATCAACATCATTAGGTATTATTTATAAAGAACCAGAAGAAGAAAATGACAGTTCTTGGCTGTCCATTTTTAAACCATTTAGTTCTGAAGTCTATATTATACTGGCATTGTCCTTTTTGATATTCTCTACCTTATATATTATATTAGAAACAATACCTATCTTTTATAAAGATAGTCATAGAGATCAAAAAGTAGATGGATTCTCGATATCATATGATCTTTTTGCTATATTTGGGTGTTTAGTTGCAGAAGGGTCTCTCCGACCACGAACCAGATGCGGTGAGATATTAGTCACATCATGGTGGATGTTTTGTGTTATTTTTGCTGCAATCTATTCGGCCAACCTGACATCATTCCTGTTATTGCGACCATCTGAGCGAGTTTTTAACAATCTTCAAGAACTTTCTGAATTAAAAGATTGGAAATATGGAATAGAAGGTGATTCAGGTATCCAAACTATGTTTGAAACATCATCTGACAAATTGTTGCAAAAGATGTGGAGGAATATACTAACATTCAATAGAACTGATCCAAATGTTTTATCACAGTCTTATGACCTTCATATAGATAAAATAATGCACAGTAAATATGCCTTATTCAGACTTTCTGCTGGTTATGCTGTTCGTCTGAAAAATGATTGTTCATTATCATTTATCGACAATATTGTTTCAGCTCAACAAATTGCATTTGGTGTTCCACTCAATTCAACATTAAAGTCAGATCTGAATAGTTTTATGTCAACTGTATTTGAAAATGGATTGTTAAATGATGAACTTTATATAGATAACAGGCCTGTATCTTGTAAGCATAATATTCCAGCAAACAATAGACTTGCACAACCAATTCGCTTTGAAAATATACTGGGTGTGTTTGCGGTATTAGCATTTGGAATTGTGATTTCTTCAATTGAAATGGTGGTGGAGTGTATATGTTTTAAACTATTTTATGAATCAAACAAATGATGTAGTACACTGTTTCCTTAACAAAAGTAATTTTGGACATCTTTTTTTAACTTAAAGAGACAGATTCGTCATTTTCGGAGATTGATTTGGGTCTTGAATATAGGTAAATAGTCTTCAGAAGTACTAGAAATGTATAAAAATCACAAGCACAATTCCTTCAAATCCCCCAATCTAGGAGTTTCCCTTTCTATGCCTATTTGTCTTTTCTGTATATGGTAGTCTCAAGAAAATACGAGTCATCTTTTTAACTTTCTAACGCGCTAATTCTGTACATGCATGGATTTGAAGACTCAAATTTCGACTACGAGCTGTAAACAACACTCATACTGATTAGCTTAGCTAAAAAAAAATTCAGTTTCTGAGACTAAGGTACAGTTGGTCAAACATATGGTGAACATATCCCTTTAAGTCTTTTAAATATATTTGTTTCATTTTATATAAATAGATACCAAGTTTTTGAGTATGACTTACAGAGTGAAAATCACATATATGGACTATTTACCATAGCTTTATTCTGCACTTTAAACAATAAAATTTGTTATTCTTATGTTAAGCAAAGCTGCTTTTCTCGGTCCAGTTTTGAATGCTGTGCATATGGACTGTTTGCTGTCTGAACTTTCAGTTTTCGTCATATATTTGATTGAAATATGTGCTATTCTACCAAAATTTCTGTGATGATATCAGTGCCACCTCAGTACTAATTAATTAATTACTACTTTCTCAATCAAAAATTTTTCGTAAAAATCACAGTTCTTGTGTTGTTAAATATGTTTTAAAAGGTATCATGTATTTGTGTAGAAACACATTTTTTGTATGTAGAACAATGTATTATGATGTTAGAAAAAAAATAATAAAATATGAAGTCATATTCATAATGTCACGCTAAAGTACATTCCAACCGAATCGCTTCATTTACAAACTTCCATGATACAAAAATAGTGGCAAGGTATAAGTATGAAGTTTGTTAAGATCGCTTGACATTGTGAAGAAGTATAGAAGCAAGACAGATATGACATCTATGTTTTTAATTAAATACAAGAATATGGTAGCAAATTGTTATCAAATAAAAAATCATACATGAACCCCTCTTTAGATATGTTCACATGTGAAAAACTTAATTGTCAGCTGTATCAAATATGCTATAAATTAAAAAAAAAAACAGGTTCCATGCAACAAATGATGATTAAATTTTCAAATTTGGGCATAAAATCTGTAGAAAAGGCAGGAGAGAAAAAAAACAAACCTGTACTGTTGGTGATCCATAGACAATAGGTACAGAGCCCACTGATAGAGGTCTCCATAATTTTTCTGTCACATAATCTGTGCAGACTCCATTTTCTATCGCTAGAGAAAACTTGTATTTACTGACCAGGTCTAAAAAATCTCCATGGTTCATGCCTTTTATTGGATCTTGAATGCTGAAAAATTAAAAAATATAACAAAATCAAGAGTGACTAAAGCAGCATTGATAACTTGCAAATTATATTTTTCTATTCCCATTAAGATTTTGAAATATGCTTAAAGGTACACTACCTCTTAGGAAGAATTAAAATCTTAAAACTTGGCCAAAATTAGTCTTTGTTCATCAGTGGAGTAACCTAGTGTCAAAACTATACAACGGAATCCCTCTATAGTCCAATAAATCCATAAAACTCAGTAATAATCCATTATGTTTTTATGTCCATTCTTAGAGGTAGAATTCCTTTAACATATTTCTAAGGAACTCATAATGCTACTATGTTAAAAAACTTGAAATATATCTTGACAAACGATGTCATAGGAGGAGATGAGCTTCGGTCAAATGGACTGGCACTGTAGAATGTTCTAATAATAGATTTGATATCAGAACTATGCCTTGTAAATTAATTTAATTTTGATCAGTTAGAACTTCTGTTTATAAAACACACCTTTACTCAGACACCATGCCCCTCTCTCCATCATTATATAAGAACTTACTGTTCTGGAAGATCTTTATTATGAAGACAGGAACCATAAGAATCAACTTTGATGTGTTTCATTAAAGATGATACAAATGTATCTCTATCAGAAGGAGTATCACAGTCACTATGGGTGAATACTACTGGTGCTAATTTATGTCGAAAACCATGTTTCTTGTCAGCAGACACAAGATGTTTTGTACTTTCTAACCACTTCTGACTAACTAAATGCTGTGTGGTGATTGGATAATCTGATTCACGTCGGAATGTACAAGTATGGTTAAATAATGCCATCATGTTATGGTGAGAATATAAAAAGTTATTTTTAGGAGATTCTTCGTGAAATAAACCCCATTCATGGTGAGATTGACGTGGTAATGGCAAATCATCAAGGGAGAAATCTGAACCATAAAACATAAAAACCTGAAATAAGACATCTTATTATTTTGAATCAAAAGAAATTCACAAATTTGATCTAATTAGTTAATATTTTATCCACCAAAAGAAATTATTCTAATACATTTTTCAAATTTGAATTTTAAGAAATTATCAAGAAAGCCAAGACCTCACCTTTATATGAGGATGATTTCTAAATTTTCTGTTAATAGTAAAGAAACACTCCTGATCTCCACAAGTCTTATACTTGCCCTTTTCTCCAGTAAATGGAGTCCACCATAGAATAATAGGCTTCTTGATCTGTCCTGGATTTAAGGACAATAACTCCATTTCTTGATGGAGAGGCATATAATGTTCTTTAACAAGAAAAAAAAAGGAAAAACAATTATGAGTTGAGAGACGTCTGCCAAAATCAAAGGTATCAGAAAGTTGGAACTAATAAACTACCAACTATAATCCAAGCAGTTTCAAATTCTGTCATACCTGTATTCATTTGAGTATATTTCAGCAGGTCAGGGCAAAAATTTGAATATTTTTCTCAAAAGCAATCAAGGGCTACAGAATTAATTGATTTATTTTGTTATTACCAAGAAAGCCATGTTCCTTAAGCACCGGTAGCATATATTGTTTATATTCTACAATATATCTTCTACCAGTGCCTAAGGAAAATGGCTTTCTTGGTAATAACAAATAACAACATATATATCATTATACAAATAATAAATGAACACAAAACATAAGTTTAAGTTTAAACAAAACATAACATTGTGTTTTGAACAATTCTAAGGTTTGAATCTGCATCTGATCTCATCCTATGCAGGTAAGAGGGGCTGACATGGAAAGAGCGTTTTGTCGTTTGGATGGGACAATAAACTGAGGTCCGATGTGTTACCGGCTGTGCACGTAAAAGATCCATAGACAGCTGGAAATCGAAAAAGATCAGGCTAATGCCGTAGTCCTGACAAAATTTCCCTCATTGCACCCTGCATGGCATGGCATGTCTTTATTAGCCCACAAAAGAGTAGGATGTAAAACTATGTTCATTTCATTTTCTGGTCTCATCCTACCTTCTGAATCCACATGGTTATCATATTCATCAAAACTTTCTTCATCATCATCTTCTTGTAATAACTGGAAAGAAAAAATATCACAATTCATAAACAAGTGAATTAATCTGCATATACATTAGTGTTGAAACGGTTAATCAGTAAACCGATTTCGGGTAGTATTTCAAGGGTAACCGGGTCTGATTTGAGATAATCGGTTAACCGTCAATTTTATAAGAAGTAAAAAGAGAGCAATTTTGACAGAAATTTCAACATCATGAGTCTTTAAGCTGTTTTCTTTAGTAAATAAACATCTTTATTGATTGAATAATTGAGATTAATAAATCAAGATAGGGTATTAATTATCAAAACACTAAATTCCTTTTTATTAACTCTCCTCTAATTGGCTGTTTGCTTCTTCTTGCCTTTCAATCAGCTTCAAGCTTATTAATATTCATGAGTACGGATTCATTGAGAAATTGAGAATTGAGAAAATAAATAGTTTTATACTAGTTGTGGGACCGGTACACTGATTCGCCGCGACTTCAATGAGATACACTCATTACACTGACCCCACAACTGGTATTAAAACCTTTGATCTGTTAGAGACTGTAGCAATGAGTGACAATGGCGCCAGTCCGTCTGAACTCTGTCAGGCCCGCTCGTAATCTTACATTGAAGCAGATGCTTCAATGGGTTGTTTGGTATCTATTGATTTGTACTGACAATTCGCGGAGAACTAGCCAAAATCTTCCTGGGTATTCATTAACGCTTACTCTACTCTTACTAATTGCGGTTTTTGACCCCTTTTGTAATCTTTAGCAATTAACCGGGTAACAAACGGTTATTGCCGACGATTACCCGGTTCGTAAAATTTACAAACTGTTTCAACACTAATATACATATACAGAAATATGCATATTGCAAAACCACTCACATAAAATTCAGTCATTGTCCTTGTAAATGATTAGCTCAAGGCCTAAAATTATACCAGTTTAAAACTTGCTAAATCTCTCAATCTCTTCATTAAACATAATTGAGAGGTTGGTAAGAGTCAGCAGGTTTTGGAGTAGCTTTATGGGTTTTAGGTAAAATGAGATAATCATGTAAACTAGGTACTGTCGTGGTATTAAACTACTGACATCAACACAAGGGTGTTTACATATTTATCAATATTACCGTTTTAAAAGTTTCATCAGATGGACAGGGGCGACGACAATATAAAAAAATCAAGGGCAATAACTCAAAAACCGTTCATTGAAAATGTGTCAAATTAGAACTTGTCTGAGATCTTATCAATCTAAAGCATCACACCAAGTTTTATCAAAATCAGATAAAAACTGTAGTCTCTATAGTGCTCTCAAGAAATGTTGACCGACGGACCAACGGACAGGGGCAACGACAGTATACGACCACATATTCATTAATACTATTTTTATGAGAGTTTATCCATATCTTTTATTTTATGTACAGCACTGTTGGAAACCCTGAAGACAGCTGCTATCTAAACATCCAAATGCAAGTCATGAAATAAATTTTCTATTGCTAGAGCAGACTAAACATATCTGTTGTTTTTGCTGATCCGGGTACCGTCAAAACATAAATACAACTAGTCCATTATAATTTTAAGGGTATGAAGGGTAATGAATTTTGTGGGTTTGACTAATCCCTCAATTGAATCACGCAACTTAGTATATTCACAATTAAATACAAATTAAGAAGTTATCAATTGTTTTTCTGTCATTTCCTTACTCACATGTTCAATCATTCTAATAGCAAGTAATATGACTAATGTACCTAATCTTCCAGATACAAACTGATCTGATACAAGTATAGTTTCAATCAATTTTGCTGTCCAAATCAAACTCATCTACTGGCTATACTCGTATCAATTTTGGTTCTAGAATGCTGTTAGTTACTTGCAGAAACTACGAAATGAATCTAATCTTTTCTAAATGGCTTCAAAATGAGCACCAGAATGTCAGAATTAACTATCCTAAAATTGAAACTTTTTGTGAACAAACCAAGTTGCTTAATGTATATTTTTATTAATTTCCGATTGTCCATTGTTCATAATCCTTTGAGTGATTAGTCAAACCCTCTTAATGTGCTACACTAAGCACCCTTGAAAGTTTTTTTGAATTTTTTTCTACATTTTTAAAGAGTATTGGAATATCAGATGCAAAATAGTAGCCAAGGCCTCCTGTCAGTTTTAGAATATCTTTGCTTTGATAATATTATGATTTTTTGTAAGTTTACAGAAAACAGACACACATTTCTCTCCTTGATATTTCAACAAACCAAAATTTGAAGACATAATGTGTGCTCAACATTTTGAGGCTGCTATTCCAAATCTCATAAAAAATAATGCAAAAAATTCAATAAACGTTTTACTTTGCTCAGACAATAGGGTACAAAATATGACCTACATGCAAGCTTAACATAACCAAGGATATAAACAGTATCATATATATGATAAGAAACCATTTAAAATTCCGTCGTAGTGACAGCATTCCATTAATTTCAAATATTCAGTTGTTATTGTTTATTATTTACAATTGCTAAATCGAAAGTCAACCGGATGTAAAAAAAAGTAAGAGTATGATTGGCTAATAATACTTTTATGGTAGCAAAAAGAGGAAATATTGAATGTAGACGCATTCAGTGTGTATGGAAAACCATCAAGGAAGGCAGACACTGGATTTGAAAATTCGACAGTTAAAATAAGCACCACAATGTTCATCTTCGAGCCTTTAAGTAGAATAGAAAATTTGATAGCACAGTTAGTAGAACATCTCAATTTCTGGAAATATTACATTTTTTTTAATTATGTTTCATTGATGTAGATTAGGACGGAAAAGACCAAAATCACAGCGTTGGAGAGGGCAAAAAATGAAGTTTTACGTCCTACTGCTGATTGCTGTCTTAAGATCCTAACCGAAGTGGCTAAATTAAAAAATAGCCTATACCTCGGTATATAAGACACGAAAGTTTGGTCTAATTTTAATTAGACTGTTTAACATTCGACAAAGTAGGCTAGATACTTAAACTGTCATTTCACACAATGTAGGATATAGGCCTAATTGGCGGAGTTATGACCGTTTAAATCATGGGTTGGATCTGGAACCTGACTTTTATCAGGACATCGAGTGTTATGACCGTTTATTAATGACGTCAAAACTTTGAAAGGCTGCCACAGGAAAAACTATCAGTGATGTAGGCCTAAGACTGCAATATGGTCTCCACTAAAAATTAATAAGCCGCTTGGGGCGCTGTTACGCAACTCGGCCCAGAGCTCTATAAAGGGCTCCTGGGAGTACACTTTGACAGGTGTCTGACTTGGAGTACGCACATTGACTATATCTGTAACCGGTCTACAAAAATCTTAAATGTTATGCGTTATGTTTCAGGTACCACATGGGGAGCAAACAGAGAAACTCTAATGATGATGTACAGGTCACTGGTTCGTTCAGTTATTGATTATGGTTGTATTGCCTATGGTAAAGCAAGTGATACTCAACTGAAGAAACTCGATGTTCTACACATGAAAGCTATACGTATTGCCACCAGGGCAGCTGTAGGTACGAAGAATGAGGCGCTACTTCAGGAGGTGGGAGAGAAACCCCTCTCTCTTCGGAGGGAGGAGCTATCTCTCAAATTCTGGGGGAAACTTCAGTATTTGTCCGAAAGCTGTCCGACGTATTCCAGCATCAGAAGATTTACTCGTGTCGGAAATAACCAGAAGAATCGGAGTATTTCTTACGGGCAAGCGGTCACTGATCTATTGAGAGAGCATCAGCTCGATCAAGTAACGATCCTTGAACGACGCCTATCGGCTACTCCGTTTTGGAAGGTTACCAACCCGACAGTCAACACCCAGCTGATTTTTTGCCATCAGGGACGCGGTAGCATGGCTGTCCGTCAATCACACGGGGCATGCCGCGATTCTATCCGACTCGCTAAGCAGCCTCCAATCTATTTTTCTCACCTCTCCTAATTGCAGGTCAGAAGTTATTTCCGAAATAAGAAGAATGATCCACAACTACCAACCCAACAACAACCAGAAGATTGAATTAGTATGGGTTCCATCGCACGTCTCCATTCCTGGCAATGATCAAGCAGACCGTTGTGCCAAGGAAAGTCTGAGTCTGGAGGATATCGAGCCTGTAGAATTCTCCTATTCGGAGTTCTGCAGTATCGTATCTTCTAGGATCAACCAGAAATGGTCTGACATGTTACGGAACCTCGACACCGCAAGATACCAGATTGATCCGAAGATACCAAACCAAACCAAACCAAACCATCCATGTGTAGCCATCTGCAAAGTGGCAACCAGACTCCGGACCAACAACGTACTACGAGACCATCAGTTCAACGCCATTAAATGTCGCTGCGGCCACGTTGCCACAAGGTCGCATATCCTCATTCAATGCACTGAACTGAAACCCGCTCGTAAGCCACTACTAGAGTACCTGGAAACCAACGGCATACCACTAACCATACAGAATGTTTTGGCTCCACCCACGGACCACTGGTATACGATAATGGAACTAGTCTTCCATTTTATAACCAAATCTGTTTTGAACAGATAGGCTAAGTTTTTTTTTTTTTTTTTACTCAAAGTTTCTTAACACTTTTTAATTATATCCAATCAATTTAACAAGTTTCATTGCAGAAACATTAGAGAACATCTCTCCCCCCTTTTGTGAAAGCTTCCCATCATATTCATACGTTTGTATAAGAAATCCGTAGAAAAAAAAATGAAATAAAATAAAGTTACGTCCTACTTTTCTGCACCTCTATGGGCTACTGAGGATAGGCAAACGCCATGCAGTGTGCAATGAGGGAAATTTTGTCAGGACAGCGACATTAGCCTACTCTTATTTTCGATTTCCAACTGTCGAGGGATCTTTACGTAGGTAAAAAAAAGGTTGATGAAGATGTGTGAATGGTAAAAAATAGGACATAGGAGGCGCGTGTCAAAAATTGTGTCACATTTATCCTATACGCATTTTCCAAGTAAGCCCCTCCGATCCCAAACACCGAAAAGGGGAAATAGAGAAGAAAAATCCAAAGAATATCAATCCATGGTTGGATCCATCGCGAATGTGTAAGTAATGTATGTGGGCGGTAAATACACTGCATTGGGGTGGGAGGAAATATGTATTTGAAGTAATAAGGTTTAAGGTATAATAAGGCGTACGATAATACACAATACTGACGGGTGGTAGAAATGTGTAAGGGTGGTAATAAGGCGTACGATAATACACAATACTGACGGGTGGTGAGTAATGCGTACGGATGGTAATAAGGCGTACGATAATAAACCATACTGACGGGTGGTAAGTAATGTGTAAGGATGGTAATAAGGCGTACGGCAATAAACCTAACTGACGGGTGGTAAGTAATGTTGTTCACCAACCTCAGCTCTTGGTTACCACCCTCAATTCATGTTCACCAACCTCAGCTCCTGTTCACCACCCACAGCTCTTGTTCACCTGATGTTCAGTTGATGTTTACCACCCTAAGTTCTTGTTTAACACCCTAAGCTCTTGTTTACCACCCTAACTGTCGTTCAACACCATCAGTTCTTGTACACCACCCACAGTTCTTGTTTACCACCCTCGGTTCTTGTTTACCACCCCAACTCTTTGTTACCACCCTAGTTGTTTTTCATTAATCTAGCTGTTGTTTACACACTCAATACTTCTTACCACTCTCAGCTCTTGTTTCATTAACCTAGCTGTTGTTTACCACCCTCAATACTTGTTTACCACCCTTAATACTTGTTTACCACTCACAATTCTTGTTTACCACACACAGCTCTTGTTTCATTAACATAGCTGTTGTTCACCACCCCCAGGTCTTGTTTGCCACCAAAGCTCTTGTTCACCAACTTAGTTGTTGTTCACCATCCTGAGCTCTTGGTTACCACCCTCAGCTATTGTTCATCACCCTGGGTTATTTTTACCACCCTAGCTGTTGTTTACCACCCGTAGGTCTAGTTTACCACTCACAATTCTTGTTTGCCAACCTCAACTTTTGTTAACCACCTTAAGCTCTTGTTCACCAGCCGAAGCTCTTGTTGTTGTTAACCACTCTCGGTCCTTGTTAACCACCCTCGGCTCTGTTTACCACCCTAGTTGTTATTCATTAACCCAGCTCCCATTTACTACCCAAAAATCTTGTTTACTGCCCTCAGCTCTTGTTTACCACCCTCGGTCTTTGTTTACCACCCTCGGTCTTTGTTTACCACTTGTAGGTCTAGTTTACCACTTTCCTTTCCGGTCACCACCCACAGTTCTTGTTTACCACTTCCAGCTCTTGTTCACCACCCTCACATCTTGTTTACCACCCCCAATACTTGTTTACCACTCACAATTCTTGTGTACCACCGAAAATTCTTGTTAACCACCCTAAGGTCTTTTTTACCACCCTCAGCTTTTGTACCAGCTTTGTTAAACTAATAGGGAATGTCAGGAATTCGCGTTTTTGGGAATCCGATTCTAAAAATCTTCAAAGGGTGGGATCTCCCACACACTATATAAAAAATCCTTAAATCCGCCGGAAAATGTCAAGAAAAAACGCTTCCGGGCCTCAAAAAAAATGAAGAGCCACGTGAGGTTTGTAGGTGACATGAATATCGAGACTTAATTTCATAGAAGTGATTCAAAAAAGTGGTTGCCAAATTGACTTAACACCGGTTGACTATAAATAGCCATCCAATGGGACAGCGATTATCAATTATTAGTAGGTGTTATTTTCGTACATTTTTCTGAAAGGGATTGCAAATAAGCGATTCTAATGAACATAAAAAAAACATTATAATGCATGTAACGCTAAAGCCTTCACAGCTAATAATGTCAGTCTCTAGAGAAATTAAAGTTTTAAAAAGGGGTGGCAAATAATAAATGAGGGTGGCGAATAATTGGTTTGCCACCCGGGTGGCGAATATCCTCGGCCCTCCTAGATAAATGTTTCATAAAATTTAAGTTTTATTAGATTTCTGTGATAGATATATATCTTGAAATAATAGGCCTACATGACGTAGTCTGATTTTCAAGTAGATTCATCACACAAATTTCATGTAGGCCTACTTGCAAGTTGACTTGCACTGCAGATTAGGTTTAAGATCAAGTTTGTCACTCTGCTACGCAGTGTAAGCTTTCCTGGTAAAGCTGTTTATATTACAAATTAGGCTACATTTTAGACATTGTATATCAATAGTACAATAGTAAGAAATATGTAAAATGAGTCATTTCAAAATGTAAAATATGGGTCAAAGAGGAATTTATATTTAGATCTAAGACTAACTAATGCTACAAGGAAAATGTAAAATGCTCTTCTGGAATTTTGTTCACCATCGCAGGTAGGCCCCTAATGTTCTTCATTTCATTTCTGTCTTTTGTATACTGCCTGAACCTTACTTACTAGTAGGTCTACAAAACTCAATCAATTTGTTCAATACTAGAAGATTGTAATTGTGGTCATGTTTCCACATCAGAGGTCACTTATTGCGCCTGCAACATAGTTGAGGTCTAGTATTGGTTTGTGATGTCTTCAATGTAAGGCTGTGTGGATGTCATGTTAGCATTTTACATGTGTATGCATGCCATGTAAAAAGTATCGTGCTGTTTTCAATGTAGGGAGGTATGCATGTCGAGTAAAATACTACATGTACGTTGACTTGTTTTCAATTTGAGGGTGTTCGGATGTCATTTAAAACACTTTAATGATTTGTCATCAATTTGAGTGTCGAGTTAAACACTAAATATATGTGCAATTGAGTCATAAAGGTAAGGAATAGAATAGAATAGAATAGAATAGAATAGAATAGAATAGAATAGAATAGAATAGAATAGAATAGAATAAAATAAATACTATAATCAACTAACAGTTGTGTGGATGTGACGAATATATCTTTATCGGCAAGATATAAATTAAAGGGAAATGGATATCAAATAGAACACTTTATCGACTAGATATAATGTAGGGCTATGGATGTTAAGAAGAACACTTTATTGAGAAGATATAGATTTAGGGGGTATGGCTGTCAAATAGAACACTTTATCAACAAGATATAAATACACGTGGAATGGTTGTGTCAAGAAGAACACTTTATCGACAAGATATATATATATGTATATAGGAGGGTTACGGATGTGTCAAGAAGAATACTTTATCGACAAGATATAAATTAAGGGGTATGGATGTTAAGAAAAACACTTTATCGACATGAAAAAACTGAAGTCTACCTAGGGTAGTAGGGTGTAGGCCTATGTAACAATGCCTCTCTCGACCTGTCATTTAATATGGGTATCAAGTAAAACAACAACTCGTCACCGGCGACATTTTTTGTTGTTAAAAATTCTGTATTCTTTGTACTATAACAAGTTAATCATCTCTTTTCAGGTATTTTAAATATAAAATATTCTTGTTACTATCTATAACGGTGTTTTTATTCTGTATATTCTATTCCCATAGTTTCAAAAGAGGTAAGAAGGAGACCCTATCTGCTTTTATAAAGTATATCATATCGGACTAGTCAGGATATCGGACGAGGCCTCAGGCATCAGATGATTTCATTTACTAACAAGAGGGTGTTGATTTTGAATGGATGTTCTAATACATGGCCAAATGTTGAGACGAGAATAATCCAGGGAAGATTATGGAGAAGATTTACAAGAATTACGGACGATAAAATTTAAGGTCAATATGGATCAATGCTAACTTCAAATACTAATCATTATATAAGCAAAAACTTCATAAATCCATTTTCAGAAAAAAGGCGCAAATTTCAACATAACAATTCTAGTGCGGTTCCATTGATAATTCGGTGGGCTCCTGTATCGGGAGAAAAAGGTGGAAGAGCTAAATGTGGTAAAAATATATGTGATGTCAGCCATAATAGAAGTAGAAAAGGTGAACAGGACATTATGGTGAATATTTTTCTGTCAAGCAATATAGAATATTTAGCATACACTGTACAGTATATAACATAAGATTACCTACATACCGGTACACGAGCGGTCATGGTCGGAGATTTTTGTTGCCGATTATAATCTTGAGTAAAATCTCGCGTGTGCCCGTGCTTCCACGACAGGACAGGTTTTCCAATCAGATACATTTTCCTTTCAAGCGCATGGTCTGCATGTGATTATCGACATGGTGGAAAACGATCGACTGGAGATTTTTGTCTCCTCGTGTGCCCGCAACCGGTCGGTAAAACTCTTGACAAGACTCTAGTCTGCGACAAAAGTTTCCGACCAAGACCGTTCGTGTGCCCGCACCTTAACTGGTCTAAATAGTAGTCTAGTACATCACGAGTTGGAAAAAATGTACGACTCTTTGATAGAGATTAAAAGTTATTCGGGAACCAGTGTCAACACACCGCAGAGCTGACTCATAGTCATAGCTAGCTTAGAGCTAGCTTTACTTTACAATTCTTAGTGGAAACAAGATTGTCTGTGGACAGTTGTCTGTTCTAAGCAAAAGGTCAATATTTATTTAAAATTACTCCATCAATTTTTCTTCATCCGTCACTTCGTCAAACTGACGGAAGAAGTAGCCCTCACTCAAAGTACTAGGTAATTGGACGTTGAGCTTGCATATGTTTAAAATTCGGGTAATTATTATTTTCAGATGTATTCTTTCTATGGAAGTAATTTCAAACCGTATGATCTTCCGGTACCCAGACGACGAGGGGATTATTGGGCACTTATTCACGAAGAGTCTCCCAAAAACAACCACTATCTGTTTTCTTATCAAGATACCTTAGGACTTTTCAACTTGACTTCAACATTCAAACGACAATCTAGTTATCCGATTCCGACATTTGGATTAAAAGAAGTAAATCATATATTAGATAAGAAATATATGTTATCAATAGAAGAAAAGAATGAGTATCGTAAATTGGGGCTGGCACCAATAGTTTATATACAGAGTTCTTGTGATACACCCTCTGATAGAGATAAACTGGTTTTTCTGCTACAAAAATATATTCCTATTGATAGTTATGGTAAATGTGTGAATAATAAGATATTGCCTGAAAGGTAAGTGTTTGACTGAATCAGAAGAGGGCATGACAGGGTCATGTCAACAAACATCTCAATCATGATCCTTGAGCAACTCACTCGACGAATTGACAACCTGCTATCAACTTGGATGAAATAATCGTCTGTAAGCTCATGTCAACGAAATCCGGTGCAGGCAGATCCTCCAAGGTACCTCTAATTGCTGGCAATCGTTGGAAAACTGATTGCTGTGTAAGTTTCTGTCGTTCACAATGTCCATCTGAGACTTTAGCACAGAAATAAACTAAGCCCAAGTAAGAACTGAGAACTACGTAATGGCAATATTGCGGTTGTATTATTTTGATTTGATTAATAAACAAAAGACGTTTTTTATTACCTTATCATTACAGATTATCATTTCAAAAAACAAAATCTATGGCACCAATGGAATCAGAAGAATTTTACAAATTTATAGCTAGATATAAATTTGCCATTGCCTTTGAAAATGCCGTTTGTGATGATTATGTAACAGAGAAATTCTGGAGACCAATTCATCTTGGTGTTGTACCAATAGTTTTTGGAGCACCAACGATTAAGGTAGGAAGGTTATTACACGGGCTGCAAGAGTGGTATAAAAAAGCAATTCTAACCAATTTTAAATGTGAAATGCAGAATTCACCTGGTATAGAATTGATGGTGTTGTCCAGAAGATTAAAGTTTGCTCGATAGCTTTAGAATAACAATTATATTGTGTTTTCTCGTTTTGAACACTGATTGATCAATTTTTGTTGATCTTTTAGAATAATTCCTGATTATTTTGTAATTTCAACAGAGGGAATAATCTATTGCTAGAACATGCTATGACAGATTTGCTATTTCAGGACCTTTTACCAGATAAAATGTCAGCCATTTTAATCACGGATTTTAATACTGTAGCAGATATAGGTTTGAAACTTCGCAAACTCGATACTAATGACGATGAATATCAGAAATATTTAGATTACAAGGAAAATGGAATCAGCAACCCAAAACTTCTTGAGTTCCTAAAAATGAGAGAATGGGGATCTGGAACTAAACACTGGAGTTTATTTGGTGCCTTCACTTGTTTTCTGTGTAATCAATTACATGATATCCTGAAACACACAGATATTCGATATACTGATGTGACTGTAGACCATTATGGTTGCCCAGCACCAAAACTCTTTAATTCTAACGGACAATATATAAAAGATGATCCTTGGTGGAAACAAGAATGGATATTTGCTCAGTTTATAGCCAAGGCAACTAAATATTTCTATCAGAAAGGAGTATCTGTGTCAGAAAGTATATTAAATACATATGCAAATGAACTCTACATACAAGCAACAAAGGGACGTCACTGATATACGCAATAAGGCTTTATACCTTTATACCAGAATGACATTGCTAAATTTTTTGGAAATCAATATGCAAGAGCATGACTATTGCTGATGAATTATTAGATACATTATATTTTGTTATATTTTATTATAAAATTTAATCATTGTAAACAAAAGGAATGTGCACAAACAAACAAAATACAATATATATTATATTGTATAAAAAACAACATTATTAATGGAGTATAATAATAGGGACAACAGTTTAAGAACATTTTGTTATTTTGTACATAAAGTAAATTGAGCAATAATCCTAATATTTATAAGGTTTAATTCCAATCAAATTTTCTTGATGCATAAATATTACATATTTTGTTTTAATGTCTTTTGAGTTTTATCTATTTTGATTTTGAATAAATTTTGAAAGTTTTATTGTTTTTAATTTACCAGTAAAATAAACTCATAAGGTGTTGGATGAATAACCAACTAGAAAGGATGTGCCTAGTTCTTTTGGCTCTTATTCTTTGGCCAAGCCTTATTCCGCCTATATATAATAATCAAAGATAGCTTGCCAGGCAAGGTAACATACGCCCACTGGCAGCTGTCAGAAATGATTAAACAGTCTCTAGTGACAACAGGGTTGCACAATATAGCTAATAGAGTGAAACGTCAAGTCAGACACGATATTTCGGTGAAATATTATCTGATCATCGCGAAAATCGCTAGGGATCATCTTCATAATGACATTGACATACAAAATAAAAATCAAAAGAATCTGTAAAGAATTGTAGCCTGTAGAGTGAGCACGAGTTGCACAATATAGCTAATAGAGTAAAACATCAGGTCAGACACGATATTTCGGTGAAAAATTATCCGATCGTCATGAAAATCAATAGGGATCATCTTCATAACGACATAGACATACAAAATAAAAATCAAAAGAATCTGTAAAGAATTGTAGCCTGTAGAGTGAGCACGAGTTGCACAATATAGCTAATAGAGTAAAACGTCAAGTCAGACACGATATTTGGGTGAAAAATTATCCAATCATCACGAAAATCAATAGGGATCATCTTCATAATGACATTGACACACAAAATAAAAATCAAAAGAATCTGTAAAAAATTGTAGCCTGTAGAGTGAGCACGAGTTGCACAATATAGCTAATAGAGAAAAACGTCAAGTCAGACACGATATTTCGATGAAAAATTATCCGATCATCACGAAAATCAATAGGGATCATCTTCATAATGACATTGACACACAAAATAAAAATCAAAAGAATCCATAAAGAACTGTAGCCTGTAGAGTGAGCACGAGCCAAATGTGAACGGACGGACGGACGGGCTGATTACAATATACGCCCAGCTTACGTCTGGGCGTATAAAAATTTATCAAGGAATATTTTGTTAAGCTAGTTTTTTAAACCTTCCATTTTAAATATCCAAACCCATTGACAAGGCATATCAAATATTGAAATGACAGGTATAGACAGTGTGATCCCTCCCGAAGGACCAGGCTTAAATTCAAATTGTTGAGGATATCCTAACAAGGTAACTTTAGTTGAAGCAGTTGGTTTTGGTGCTCCAAGAAACAGCTGATCTTTCTCTGGCCAGCTTGATATACTTGCATAGACTATTCTACCTTCAGGTCCTTTCTTTGATGTATACCTGGAATAAAATTAACATGTTTATGTTTAAAAATGATAAATATTATAATTATAGATGACATATAATTATTGTTTCTTCTGATTTAATTCATAATTTAGTTTGTTTTGATATGGACACAGAATGATTGTATTCATGTATATATTTATCCCCTGATGGGCAAAAACTCATACTAATCATTTTTCGATTTTTCTAATTTTAAATAGAGTTCATTATTGGGTTATTACAAACACTCACACCAAATTTCATCAACATCCATCAAGAATTGTATCTTCTTGAGTGGTTACGATGATTTCAAGAACAAGGGCAATAACTCATACTAAATACTTTTCTATTGTTCTGATTTTCAAACATTCATAACAGGTTTGGACAAAATGAGTCAAGAATTGTGCCTTCTAATGTGTTTACTACCAATTGTGGACGGATGGAAGGACATGGGTGACGACAATATAAGTCCCTCCATATCATGTGGGAGTATAAAAACAAGTCCTGTTTGATTGATAGTAGATAATATCTATATACTGAAGACAATGAAAAGTACAGATGATGATGTGTTCATCTTGAGACATACCATATTCCACGTGTTACAGTGTCGTTCTGATGTGACCATGGTACACTGCCATAGATAGCTTCACCATTCACCTTCAGCCAATCTCCCATAGATCTTAATCTTTCTTGAAATACTGGTATTATTTCCCCTGATTTAGTTGGGCCAATATTTATCAAAATATTACCTGAAATTTAAATTACTACAGGATATAAAAGATAGACTTGCAAAGCAAGGTGACATATGCCCACCAGCAACTTTGATTGCAAGTTCAAATCATTGTTTGTAGCCTGTAGAGTGAGCCAAGTGTGAACAGGCAGATGAACTACAATATGCTTCCATACTAGGAGTGGATATAAACCATTATTTGATAAAGATTATCTTCATAATGACATTGACCCACGAAATAAAACCCAAAAGAATCCATAAAGGGATGTAGCCTGTAGAATGAGCACTAGGTGCACAATTAAAAGAGTGAAAAAGGTCAGATTCAATATTTCAGTGAAAAATTATCAGATCATGAGGAAAATCGATAGGAATCAACTTCATAATGACATTGACCCAAAAAATAAAAACCAAAACCACATTATAATGTGGGTGTAAAAAAATAGTTTGTATGGACATAATGTTTCACTTAAACATGGAATCCCTTTGAGTTAGATCTTGATGCTACCAAAACTGACTGACAACTGCTTTAGCTTCATAGATAAAATATTGCTATCCAACTGTATCACTTTCCAACTTCTATGTCTTAGCTCCAAATCTTACCCCCTCTACAGATTAGAACATTTGACAAATATAAAATACCCTATACCTATAGTTTAGTAAAGAATTTTATTTCTGAACTAATCCTACCTCCACAACTAATTGTTTCCATCATTTCTGATAATAAATCTACCATACTTAAAACATCATCTATCTTCATATTACGTCTATATCCCCAGGAATATTTATCTAGATGCATACAATTCTCCCATTTTCTCTTCTGCAAGGTTCCTGATAGTAAGAAGACTTATTTGTAAATGAAATGAAATGAATGGAGTTTTACGTCCTACTTTTCTGCACCATGTGGGCTAATGAAGACGGGAAGACTTATTTGTAACAACTTAACTTATTTCATACATCAAAACTTATTTAGTTCACCATATTAAAAGGAAATCCTCAGTTACTTTCGGAGCCATGGTTTAACAGTCCAAAGGAGACTGATATCTATGTCTAAAGCCATGACTGATCATTAACAATTAAATTTATTCTAGAAACATGTCATATTGTTATGGTAATAATTCAAGAACATGGCTTAACAAATCTGTTTTCCATTATTGTTTTTTTTAACTTGACTTTAAATATCTATTACAAACCTGGATCAAAACTATCAGAACAATCTAAAAATCCACCATGTTTACATCTAGAATCATTACCCCATCTATCATTCACTATGATATAGTCTTTAACTGGACTAGAAATATATTTGGAGAAGAAAGGTTTAGAAAAAAGTGTTCAGTCAAGTCTACAAGTAACCTTGTTGACAGTTAACTCGTCAATAAACTGAGTTAACTTGTCTACAACCTCGAGTATAGGGGGTACATTGCCCCCCCCCCCCCCCCCCCCCCAAGAAAAATGGCTTGTACACCGACTTTCTTTCTAACAAATATCAAAATATTATGTTTTACCCCAAAATGTGTCCGAGGGCATATTCTAAGAAAATTTCTCAGTTCGATGCTTTTGCACATGTGCTTCCAAACATCACTTATTAATTTTATGTCTATTTGCACCCCCAATTTCGAGAGGTTGGCGCTGCAACTGAAATCCTGGAAATCAGTCATTTAAAAAAAAATACTAAAGCAAATGATTTCACCAGGTAATATTTCAAGCTACATAATTAGACTTGACAGTCTTTCTATGACTATCCAGCTGGTGATCATAGTAATATTGAAATTTAAACTTAAAGCTGAAGAATGCTTACCTATCATTATAAAGCCAAGCTAGAAATTGTGTAGCATTCCAATAATCAGAGGAGACCATCCAATCTCCATCAGACCAAATTAAATCAGGTTTATAGGTATTGACTAATTCATACAGTTCTGGTAGTGTTTTACTCTGTAATATCATAATATCACAAAAATGTCGGTTAAACCATAATTATTTCTATAGCAGAATTTTTGAATTTGTTGATGGCAAATTGTTGATTGTCTGTTTAAATTTTGAGTTTTCTTAGAGTATAATTCAGTCATTAATAAAGAAAATATCTGTGAAAACTGTAATTGAAATGAATTCTACCTCTTATAATACACTTGTCCTACAGCTTCAATTTGAGTTTGACACTAGTTTATTTTTGAAAGTGTGGCAATAGAACAAAATGTTGAGTTTGAAAAAAACTCTCTGAGCTGTAAAGAGTCTGCTTTTATTAGGCGAAAAAGTATCTAGGTAATCAAAGGGGTTTTTATCCTAACTTAACGTGATTTGATTCTGTGAACTATTTATCCTTATCAAATTGAAAATATCAATTTTGATGATAGACGCATTTATCCTAGTACCTAATTGAATATAGGTAATTGAGCAAATCAATTCTGAAGCGTTTTAACTCTGACAACTTCAGCTTTAGTAATCATATTTAACAGCGAAAATTTAGCAGCGTAAAAATGCCTCAGGACATCTGAATATTTGGAACGTGCTCAGCAGACTCTTTCAATAATAACCTTTATGGATTTATAGAATTATACAGGGATTCTATCTTATAATCATGCTACCAGGTGATGTATCTGTACTCTGTTTGAGTGAAATTTAAAATTGATGTTGATTTCAAGACTTTTTAATTGGACTATATTGGAAGATTAACAATAAATATTAGCTCACCTCTACAAATTTTTGGGTCTGATAATTATTAGCTTGATCTTGTAAATACAGGGGGTTAAACCATTCAAATAATGAATGATAAACTCCAAATCGCATATCTGTATATTTTCTTATAGCATCGGCTAAATCACCTACAACAAAACAAATCTTCAATTGATTAAAAAATTAATAATTTGTTCGTATATAACTACTTCAATCAGTAATTTCAATTAATACTTGAATTTATGAAAGGGTATATTTCTGATATAAAGAAAAATCGAACAAATCACATACAACAATTTTACCATTATAGTCAAGTATGTCATATACTATCAAGTGTGCCATATTATATTCCTTGCTTGTAGTTAGACTTACCAACTAAATCTCTGTTAGGTCCAGTACTCATTGAGTTCCAATTCCAGGAATAATTTGTATGCCAATTACAAAATCCTTCATGATGTTTGGTTGTCAACACAACATACCTTTAAACACAAATTTAATTTGAATATCATCAAAATCTTTAATAACAAACTACTTAGCTGTATTAAGTTTCATATTTAGTTGTGAATGCAAATTTATACATATATGTGTTAATGCATAACAGTTTCTGGCCAAGAGCAGAAAGTAAGTGCTGCAATGCCTTAGCCAAGTCTGGAATAATAAAAATAGGCCTTCGTATAACAATGCATTCAGATGACTCAAGTTAAGTCAGCTTAGTCAGCTACTGACTAAAATTAAGTCAGATATGTAGAGTCTCTGCATGTAAATTCATAAAAATAAATACCCACCCTTATTAGCGCATTATGCACATGTGTAATGATATTGTGACCTATAAACTGCCTGATAGTTTAACCTTTATGTCCATCTGAACGCTCAACAAAAAAACAGTAAACCAGACTCAAAGAACAGTGGCTTAGGCTTAACTTCAGTCATTCTGATCGCACTATTACATTAAGCTTAATATACTTACTGTGCTCCAGAAGCATTAAATAATTCAGCCCATTCATTAGGATTATAAAACTCAGCTGTAAATTCTGGTGCAAAATCAGCATAAGTAAATCCTGGCTTGTAATTATCTTTCATAAAAGCTTCTACTCCTGGAACTGGGGGACTTCCTTTCCATTGCCACCAAAACCATTCTGTTGAAAAACTTGGCACAGAAAAGACTCCCCAGTGAATAAATATGCCAATTTTCCCTTGGTCGTACCAAGAAGGTAGAGGTCTAGAGTCTATGGATTTCCAGTTCGGTTCATACCTAACAGCGTTGCATAGTGACAATAAAAATAAACAGATATTGAAGACATCCCACTTCATGATTCTAAACTGACCAGCGAAATCCTATGTAAACAATGCAAAGTCACATGATTTTCTCGTCACGTGACATGGCCTGTAGGGTAACTCGGTGATAATGTGTCCAACAGGACAAATATGTTAAAATGAGATAAAAGATTTTTATTCACAACCAAGACAAAAGCACCACTCTATTTTTTTATAACAATATTTAGTAACAATTTAACTTTTTTGTCCATTGAGAAAAGAAAAAAAACTCTTAATTAATTGTATTGCCTAAAATAATTCTGTTCAACAGTTATAATTTAAGAAGAAATGAAAAGTGTGAAAATAAAGTAGCAAGTAAAATAATATAATAAAAATAAAATAGTAAGAAACACTATCATGGTTGGGTCAAATATGACTAACTAACCAAGATAAAAGAAATGCATAAATTGTTGTACTGTTAGGTTCTCCATCAGATTGACAAATCGTCTCAGAAACAGGAAATATTTAGCTACACTTATCTGTTGAAATTTGAGTCTTCAAAATCATGTGTCCAAAATTATTCGCATTTGAAAGTTTGATGACTTTTCGTGAGACTCTGCCCTATAAAAAAAAGACTAATATAGAAAGTGAAATTTCTAGTATGAGGTATATATGAAGGGATTATGTGATTTTATACAGTTCTAGTACTTCTGAAGGCCTCTTAAATATATTCAAGACTAAAATCATCCCCCAAAAATGGTGAACCATTGGCCTTTAATATGATCTGTGTCAACTATCATGTAGGCTAATGAGATTCTTTTGAAAAAATTATTTAAAAATCAATATATTCAATTAGAAAATGTCAAGTTTAATAATGCATTATAGCTAGCTTGTTTCTACAGTACATAGACTGTTATCAGATAAAATTCTACACCTTTAAACCCAAAAATTAGATAGGAGTATCTCATTAAAGGTAACCATCATGCAAATGATAATGAACATAATGGTGAAATCAAATGTGGTTTTAACTGTCAAGGACACTTGTAACTGAGATGTTTTTAAATACTTTGTAGATAATAAATATTAGATAAAGATTAAATACATAATTAATGAAATGACAAAAGTCTTGGATTTCAATACTTATTGAATAAATATCACTTTAAAGATCAAAAACAAACAATAAATAACAAAAATATGAAAAAAACAACAAAATATTAGTTAACAAAAGTAAACAGAGATTAAAAGGAATGGTTTTCTGTAAATAAAGTAAGGTTGTACTGGCAAGAAATGCTGTTTGACTAGATAATTCAAAAACTATAATCTACAACACCAGTTTGGCAAATCTGAATAAGGCTTTCTTGTGGACAATTACTGATTTGACTGATGAGCAGACCTTATGTTATGTGGATGGTGACAGTATCATTAACAGGATAAATTGAATTACTACATATTAGAGCATCAATGTTACCATGGCTGCCAATAATAAATATACTGTAGATCAAGTATAAGATTATACAGTTAATACTCTGAGTAACAACATATTTCACATTCTACTATTTCTAGTATCTAATATGTATATTGTATTTTCTTTCTTCATTCTTATCACAAGAAAAATTCATTTTGATCAATAATTATCAAGTCATGTGTTTACTCATTTCAAGATAGATAGAAGCTTCATTGAACTGTTCAACATTTGATGTAAAGGAGGTCAGCAAAATATGCAGGATCTAATCATTTGGTTGAGCTGGGTTCTTCTTCCTCCTTGCTGGTTCCTTCATCATTGGAATGTTGCATAAAACATTAATAGTTATTTTAAGATATATTTAACTCACTGTGCATTAATATTTAAAGCAGAAAAAACATTGCACAGAAATGAGTAAACTAGATTGTGCTCAAGCTGAATAGGTGTTTTCAACTATATATTCTCACAGATCTTTAGAATTCCTTTATAAAAACCAATGTGTCCTTTGAAATCCTTGAGCTGAAAAATTAATCATAAACGCCATGAAATGTAAAATGAGGAAAATCTTGCTAAGACAGCAGCAATAGGCATTTTATTTCTAATGTACAGATCTTTACAGGGCCTTGTTCCTTTTGAATGGCAAGAAGAGTTTTCCATGTCAGTCCCTCAGACCTGCAAGGTAAAACTGGGTTGAAAAATCCACAGGTAATATCTCACCCATGCTGGGATTGAACCCTGGACCACAAAGTAGACTCAGAACTCTATATTACGAAATCTTTTTAATTTCCAAGTCAGCAGTAAAATAATCTTATATGGTTGGATTAATTTTCAACATTACAAACAATAATACAAAATGAAATAACATCCATCGTATCATAATACAGGTTTTGACATCGTCTTATTAACCTGTATTAAACTGAGCCCACTACACTTCGTATTGTGGGCGTGGAACTGAGATTGATGCTATCCAATTGGACCAATCAGATCAGTCAAATGGAAATGAGGTCATGTAAACAAAACATGACATTGCTTTGCCGCCTCCCTTTTGATGAGAGCTCATTCTTTGCAAGTAAATATTCCAAAGTAAAGTTTGATTTTCTTTTCTAGCTTCAATTCTTTGCAGAAAATCTTACTGAATTCTGTACTGTAAATATTAATCAAAATTGCATGGTTTGGACAGGATTGTTAACAATGTGATCACATTGAATTCTAACGAATAGGTAACTGATAATTAGGCTACTACAATTAATGTGAAGACTCTTTTTCGGTGAGCTAAGCCTCATCACATTCCATTCTTCTAACGAAGTATTTTGTATGGGACAATATCTCTACACTTCTTTAAACTGTAATGTTGTCATACCCTGCTACACTGGCCATTGATGATATAATGGTGACTTAAATGGGTCGCATCCAGCAGGCATGTGTAAGGAAAACACCAGAATAAGTCACAGAAAAATGAAAAAATTAACAGTCGCTCACATAGCCTACTGCGAATATAAAAGCAAAGAAATAGTGACCTGAACCGTCAAAACACAAAATCCGAAAAAAAAAAAAGAGCATAACTAGCAGGTAATGAACTTAATCCGTTCTAGAGAATGCAACGGTGGGTTTAATGGGTTCTAACAAGCTGTCCTATTTAGGGTATTCAATTTTTCTTAAGGTACTTTTTTTCGTGATTCTTCAAGTATGCTGGCCACCTGGTACATTTTCTAGTCGCAAGATAGCAAATAGTTGCAATCTGCAGCAGCATTGAATGTTTGCTACAAATAGCATATTTCAGTTTTTGAGTGATTTTTTCTGCTGAATCAGCATGGTAGGCATAAAAAATAAACACGTCTACACCTTTCAGTGTATCAGACAAACACCTCGTTATCAAAAAACGGACGTAAAAAATTGATGTTCTTTCTGATTTCACCCCCAACGTAAACAAATTATTTGGCGTCAACATGTCAAAATGTGTCCTTAAAAAAAATTTCAATCAATTGACCAAGTCAATAGAATAGAGTGAAAAGACTTGAAAATAAATAACCCTTCAGAGGCAAAGACTATTTCCAGGTGGATAAAAAGTCATCTTAGCCCCACAGTCTATTATACATCTTCATATAACTTGATTTTCATGAGACAATATTCTTCTCTTGCAATCTGTTTGTGGCTGGCTTACATTCCAAATATTAGTAATGTCATCATAGATGGTCAATTACACAATATAAAGTTAAAATAAAGTATTTACTTACCTATTGCACATAATATCACTTTAGTCTGAAACAACAAAATTTGTTGCTTTGACTTTCAATTTTAAATTAACGATTTGCTAATTGAGATTTACAATGATATATAAAATATATTTCATATGGGAAATTTGAAAGTGAATATATAAGATCATTCAAGACTTGTCTAGTTTTTCCACTCATATAATGAACATAACTGTAATAAGTTTTTTGCAAGGAAATTCTTATAATTGCAACTATGAAAGATGTGTTAAGATGTTGACAATCAAGTTGTTATGACAACAGTTATATAAATATATTAAGGTATTGTATGCATGACAGAAAGATGTACCATAGAAATGAAAGATACTTACTAGTTCTTGAGAAGATGCATGGAATACATGACAGACAAAATCCTTGGACAAATTACATGATGTTTCACTGAAAAATCAACGAAAATGTTAATCATTTTTTATCTAGGTGGACAGATAGTATGATTGTTAACTTTCACTTCGACAAATGAAAATTCTGAAATACATCACCTAAGGAAATGTATTGCCACTTTTATTGTACTGTAGCTAATTCTTGTAAGTAATAAAGAGAAGGCAAAATAAAAAAAATAAAGTATATGTTGATCTAATATCTAATTATCATGAGATACATACCCAGCAATATATGAAAAATGTTGTAAATAATCTGTTCTTCTACCACATGCTGATACTTCAGTGTAAGAATGGTTTAAAATTTCCTAGAAATATATAAATAGTTCGAGATAAAAATGGGTGAGGCGACCAGTTATCCCTAGTTATCAGTAACTAGTTTCGTACTTGGGTGTACTCTTCAGACTGATTAATAAGGCTCACTCTTCAGGGTTCTATTTATACTGTTCAGATAAGGGGGTGTCTAACCGGGTTTAACGGGGTTAGTTTTAACGGGGTCTATCACCGGGGTTTGTTAACAGGGTTTGTTTTACCGGGGTTAACGGGATCAGTTTACCGGGGTTATATAAATAGTTCATTTGATAAATTCCAAGATTATCCAATGTGGACACTACTTATGTCCACATCATAATTTGGGATTATAAAAAGCTGTCAATCCTATAGGAACCCACAAACCCTGTTTGAGACTAAAGAACTATAGAACAACTTTGATAAACTTACTTCATCACCTGATAATGATCTGACTTTGATACCAGTTTCTGATAGATAAATCATCACAGACTGAAAAATATATAACATGAATACCAGCTATAAACAATGTACACACTTTTATCAATAACAATTACTTAATCTGATAATAAGTATATAGTGGTAAGTGATATACATGTACTGTTATGAAAATAATACCTGATAAGTACACAGAAATACCGGTATTGTTACACTTCATAATCGTGATACAAAAAAAGTCATATTTTAAAAATACAGTGAGACATGGTAATATAATATAATACACTGTACAGGAGAGCATGTCAGCATTCATTCAAATATTTTGGAAAAAAAATAAAACAATGACTTACTAGATTTTTTCTATTGTTTGATTGTAAAACTTTGAGGACACCATCTTCTATTCTTTCTACTCTCCCATCCTAGTATGTATAAAACAAACAGTGGTTTATAGCCCAACTATTCAAATACTGACTGGGGAAGAATACAACAAATTTTTTTATTTTTAACAAATATTTTCTGATTTCTATGAAAAATCTCATACTTACAGAACCTAATGAATATTCTCCTATATAAGTTACTTTATAACTGGCACTAAATAGAACAAATTCATACAATTGATAATTGGATTTATAACATATTATGTAGATATAAATATATTGTTCTACAGGAAATTTCTGAAAGCTACAATAGTTCTCACCAATTAACAAAGTTTGCTGGAATAGATTTCCTAATCTTAGTATAAGTAGGCCTATGAGAAGTTTTGTATTCAATTGCTTACAAGGGACCCTGATAAGACTGTAGGCTGTACATACACAAGTTTTCTATACAGTTGGAATTGAAGAGGATGTCTTATTGAGTGGTCTGACAGTGACTTACCTGCCATCAGGACCATGAACAGGAGTCATCTCTGTTTCTTCCTCCTCTAAAATAGTATGTGGTGGTTTAACACAATCTATACCATTAGTCTCCTCTGAATTCTCTTCATCTTGATGTTTTAAAGGATCTATACTCAATTCATGTAATGCCGTTCTTAATGGACGGTAAATATTACCACTATACTCTCTAGCCTGAATAAAACATAACCAATATCAATATTAAACAATCAATAGTATGTATATTTGAGATACCCTGCCAGACAGGTCTGGAAGTAGAGTCAAATCAACAGCCCTGGTTTAAACAAATCGTAATCAAATTCAGTCTATAAACCATACTATCACTTGCTCATCTCATTTTTATTTAATAAATTTTAGTGATATATATATACACTGATAATAAGATTAATGACAATGGACAAGGGATAATCTTTCATTTCACAAATTTAATTACTTCTTTGGACATTCACTTGCTCGGTAGCATGCTATAGAATGGCAATCGAAGATACAATTCTACACTAACACTGAGAAAGCTTGTATTATCACAATACAGTGCTTCCTGTAGTATTATTACCGGTAATTAGTTACTAATATGAAATTACTAATACTTATATAGACAATTTCTTTTTTTGTTTACCTTTATAATTGAGACATAAACAGGAATACCTTTATAATGTTGAAATAATTCTTGAACCTGACAATAAATTTGAAAATAAATAATTTCAATACATATTTGTAGTGCTCTACAAATGAATATTCAAAGGGTAAAGAATTTCTCAATAAGTGATTCAATAGATGTTGCTGCTCATAGAATAACACTCAGTTTCCTAAAATATCTTTATCTCATGTCAGTTATTTCATATTTACTCAAAATTATCAAAATAATAATATAATCAAAATTCAGTAAAAATTTGTTAATAGCTTTCCTGTATCTGAAGAATAGGGTCTCTTTTGAACTTGTTAACAATAACAATAGGTGAAAGCTTTACAAGGATTTAATGGACAAATCTTAATCTTACCCTTCCCCTTTTAACATCCTTTAAACTTTCACCAAACATTTCATCTAAAACATCTCCAGGCTGTACCTTACCCTGAATCATCCAACAAACAAATTTGATCAAAAAATATAAAGATGACTTGCCAGGCAAGGTAGCATATGCCCACTATGTCAGAAATGAAAATAAAGTCATAAATTATGAATGTTCAAATAATCTGAAAAAATACTTAAAAGGCAAAGCAAAACCTTAAAAACTGTTCATCAAATTAAAACATGAACAAGTTCTCATTGCAGTTCTCAACAGCAATAACTCCACATCAGAACAACTTTTAGAATGGCAATCATCAGCAGTATCAAATACTTCAGGGAGTCATATACTTCTTTTTCAATAGAGTTTTACCTTATGGAATAATATCTTGTCTAGTGGGTTAGAGCTAGAAATTAAAGGTTTTTCAAAGAACAAGGACAGCAAATCATTTAAAAATTCGGATTAGTTTGTTATCGAAATGTCAATTCTTTTTTTTTTTTTTTTTTTTTTTTTTTTTTTTTTGAAATTTACACACCTTCCTGAGCTTAGACTACAATAGTTGCAGCAACCATTCAACATTCACGAACCTTAGATATAGGCGACGATGTGCATAAATATATTTTGGATCTTTTTGCAAAACCGGAAGTGCCACAGTTCAATATGTGCAAGAATTGATAATCGGCTCTAGAAGTCGTATTTTTCGGTCGATTTTCTTTGGGTTTGCATTTTTGGAATCTACTGTTAAAATCTGAAAGAATAGCAGTTTCAAAATTTGAAAATTTGAAAATTTGTCGCAGACATTTTTCAGCCGATTTTCGAAATTTTTGGACCATTTTTCAGTTTTTTTCGGATTAATCTGAAATTTTGATAAAAGATGCATGTCACTAATGTAAACCATTTGACGTATTCAAAATTTTTGCGTCACTTCCGGTTAAAGTGGAAAATCGATTTTCACTTCCGGTGTGATTGAAATATTTCAACGAAATTATGTATATCGTTATTAATCTTAATTCTATGGCCGATTTTAAAATAAAATTAAGTCCGAAAAAAATACTTCGGCCGCCATCTTGATTTGATACTTTTTCATAAAACTCAAAATGGGGCTTCGGGGGAGAATGGGATTGGTCAAATTTTTATGTTGGTGTATACTTTAGTCGATGGCTACAAAAATGTTGGAAATGGATTTTTGAATTTGACTTTTGCTTTTTTGCAACTTCTGGTCGAATTTTTTCAATTTTTGAAGGCTTGTATCTCGTGACCTTGACCTTTGATGACCTTGACCTTTATAGGGTCAAAGGTCATTGACCTTGGCTATAATTTGATACTTTGACCTTTGACTCCAGACATCTACTTCCGGTTTTATAGCTATCCGTAAAAAGCCAAATTCGCAACTTTGGACTGCTCTAACACATGACCTAATTAACCTAAAATTTCGGTTTCCTAATGTTCTTCTCATGCACTTTACATAGATATAGAACAATTGCTTTTTTAAAGCAAAATTGAAATTCGTGATTTTTTCAAATTTGAGTTTTGTTTTACCATATTTGTGTCTTTTTGATCTTGGTGTATGTATATCTTATGACCTATTTTATGGAGAACCTTGATATTTGGAATACAACTAGACACTTTGAATATGAATTCACCTATGGCAAAAAAATTGGGGTGGGCGTGGCACATCCTGGGTTGAATTACTAATTGTTTACATTTTGGGGCTGGGGCATAACTCGCATAGGATACGTTTGTTCAAAAAGAGGCTTTGCACACAATTACCTCATCCTTTTGGCCAGTTTGTGTTAACAGCTCAGTTGTTTCAGCTTTATAGTTCCAAAAAAGGAACGGGTTTTAACATTTGGATATTTTCATTTTTCGATTTTGACATTTATTGACATTTGTTGACCTATATCTTTTGACCTGAATAATGTAGAAGCTTGAAATTTAAAACACAACATAACATTTGGAATATCTATTACCCTATGCATAAAAAATTGAGTTGGGCGTGGCACTTCCGGGTTAAATTACTCATTATTGACATTTTTGGCCAGGGGCATAACTCGCAAAGTATACATTTGTTCAAAATGGAACTTTTTACACAATTACCTCATATTTTGAGCCACTTTGTCTTAGAATTTTGGTTGTTTCCGCTTCATAGTTCAAAAAAAGGAACAGGTTTTGGAAATTCAAAATTTTCAATTTTTGACCTTGACCTTTGTTGACCTTGACCTTTGTAGGATCAAACGTCATTGGCATTGGCTATCTATTTATACTTTTATATTTGCTGTCCTATGTCAACTTCCGGTTTTATAGTCGTGTGCAATTTGAAATTTTAATGGCGTATATCTCTTGATCTTGACCTTTTTAGACCTTCTCCTTTACAGGATTAAAGGTCATTGACCTTGGCTATCTGCTGATACTTTCATTTGTGAGGTCTGACGTCCACTTCCGGTATTAGAATCTTCTAAAAAATGAAAATTTATCAACTTTACACTGTTCTTGCGCTTGATCTAATTATCGTCGAAGGTTGATTTTTTCAGGGTCTTTTGCATTTTGCAACATTTGCAAAGTCCCACTCTGTGCCACGAGTGGCTCTTGTTTATATTTGTTAGTATAATGTGTGTATCAGATATATTGCAATGATTTGAAATACTGATTGAGTAACTTACATCTTCTGCTGCTACACTACCTTTATCAACTGACAGTACAATCATATGACCTTCAACCTCTCTGTAATAAATGAAGAAAAATAATCACTCAACTCAGTATCATATATGACTAAAATGCATACACATGACTGTTTAAAATTTGATGATATTGGATGTAATGTCATAACACTTTTCATGCTTAAAAAAGAATATCATCTAAGGTAGCATTCACTCATAAATTTTGATTAAACAACAGTCATAATAACTTACATGAAATGTATGCCAAGAGCTTCACAGGGAACAAATTCATAATCTTTATACACTGGTATATCCCAAGTTACATCTAAATAACTAGCATTCTAAATAAACAGTATAATGATAACTTTCCTTCTCCTCAATAAACAAACCTTTTAATTAAGAGTTTTCATTAGATAACACAGTACTGCAATATCCATATACAATGTACCTGTAATTTTCTCAAGGAAAGGACATTATTTTCCTTAGTTAACAAGGTAACACTAAAGATAATGCCTCTGAGAAGATAATGCCTATGATAGGATAATACCTAATGATATGAATACTGCTGAATATATAATAGTTTATCAAGACTTACCTTTAAATTCAAACTGAAAGTTATTGTCTTCACTTGTTCCAATAATGATATGAAAATTTCTAAAAATAATTACAAAACACATTATTATGATAAATCATCTCCTTGAACTTTTAGTCTTGGGTCAGTTCTTGTTCCAAACCAGAAACTTTGAATCTACAGTATTTTAAGGAATGTTTTCAACAGAAAGAACTAGTTTGACAATCCCAATTTATAAATTCATCTGTCAAAATATATTTTGCACATATGCTTGTAAACACTTCTCATATTGGTATTTTAGGTTGTAACATTGTGCTTAAGTAATGTTATGAAAGCACATATTCAGGCATGCAGGCTTAGTGAGAGAGTATTTAGGGTGGCTCAAGTAGTAGGCTTAATTGAACACAAACATAGTTTTTGTTCTGACATGCTCATGAATGTGTGATAATATAGCTGACAATAGAATCTAAATATCTACCTGATAATATTTCATTACCAATTATTGAATCTCTTTCATACCATGTCTGAAAATAATAAAAATCTCTTCATGTGCTTAAGTCAAAAATTAAGTATTGCTATATATTTACAGTGTCATATAAATTTACATGGAAGGGGATTCCTTAACTCAAGTATGTTTCATTAGTTTCCGTCTTGTCCTGTTTAAAGGAAACATGTTGAATGTAAATGTAGTGGCGGCACCATTAGGGGTACAGGGAAATTACTAGAAAATTGGTTTGTACCCCCCAATTGCACTTCATTTGTAACTAATTTAGAAATATACTTTTAAAAAAATCAAATACGTTTCAGAAAGCACAACATCAATTCTATTTTTCAAAAATTCTCTCTCAGTTGGAGGTTTTGACTAGAGCTGTCACATTTTAAATCTGAAAACTGATGGTTGTTCCCCTATTAAGTCAGTCTGCCCCCCCTCCCCCCCCCCCTCATTTGTACCTTCAGTTTCAGGAGGCTAGCGCCACCACTGTGTAAATAACATTACATCATACAAAATGGTCTTGCAAAAATGCTATATGCTAAAGATATGAGATTTTTTTTTAAAAATTCTGACTACCATCATTTTATGAACTATAAAATACTATGTTGACAACAGAAAATATAATCCATCAATGTGGGGCTTCTTTACACAGTAAAAATGTCTAATATGCACGTGCAAGTAAGGAGACTTTGACTTCCACCTAATCTGTTTTCAAAATTCTTATTGTCAGCATCTGATTATAGGCATCAATCAATTTTGTAGTAAGAAGATGTATTATTACCTCTAACAAAACTGGATTCTCTTTGACTAATGCAATCACTATATCTAAATTCTTTTTCACTAAAGCTGCTCGTAGAAATAATCTTCCCTTACCATCTACAGTTGATGTCTGAAACAAATCACAATTTGACAATTTGGGATTCAAGTCTCACTTATTAAAATCAGAAGGTTAATAAAGTTTTTTGTCTATGGCTTCAAACATGTTACTCATATGAAGCAAAATTCTTGGAATAGATATTAATTAACTTTAGTAATCTGAAAGACAGCAGATTAATGTTTAGATGGCTTACCTTTAAACAATCTTTAACAAAATGTACAGTATGATCAAATGATGGATTTCTTCTGAAAGAAAAAGAATAACAAATTACTCAAACATTTTTAGATCATTTTTGAAATCACCTTTGATCACACACCATGTGCCCAACCATAACCTCATTTGTCATTTCTTCTTTGAGACAGTGGCAAACTAAGAGATTCAACTACTTTCCATTCAAAATAAGCTTTGGTTGATTAGAATTTTGCAGGTAAAACCTAGAAAAAGGAGACAAATAATTTTTCAAATTTGTCTGCATGTTAGGAGTATTTCAGATTGAAATGTTCACAAACCAACATGACAGTGGAAAAATTTTTGTAAGTTACGTTTCTGGGCTTTACTATGAGAGTGCTATAAGAAATAACTTACTGTTGTGGTAACTTGTTTATCCATGCCCAATAACTAGGTTTACCAAACCAATTGTTTCCATCTATAAAACAGAAATCTAATTAAAAACAGTATCTTAAAAAAAATAATTGATGTATTTTCTTTGAAGTAAAAAGTATTTAAATCATGATCTTGTGTTACAACTTGCATTCGATTATTATCTTATATAGTTCAATCTTTATAACACAAATATATCATCTTAAGTGTCGCTTACTCTTCAGTCCAAGAGTAAAGATGTCTTCTAGTCTTCTACAAAATGGTGCTAAATTTAGATTATAATCATGAATAACTCGTTCTTCTGTATACAATTCCAAAATATTAGCTGTAATAAAAACATATTTGTTTGCCATTAGACTTTGTATTGCTGGATTTCCTTTTAAAATGACTCTTCAAAATATGTTTTATTGGTTAGGAACTATATCATTCTACCCTTTTATGAAAATTGTCAATATGTCAAATCACTTCCATTTGAGTTAACATAAGATAAGCTTTTTCAACTTCAATCTTAAACTTAAATCATCTTATCTAATTAAGGTTATGTAAAATTTTTACAAAAAGATGTTATAATTGATAATTTTTGTCACTTACCTTTCAAAATTTTCAATAATGGATGAGTTACAGACATATTTTCATTTCCTCACTTACTACAAATTTTGTCTATATCTGTCTCTGAAAAAAATTACCAGAATAATAAATAGATCTATAGGCTAAAAATCATTAAGCAGTACCAAATACTGTTTCAAAATATTTCATGGTTCCATTAATTGCCATTATGAATTGGCATGTTCGGTGGTTCCATCAATGCTGTATAGTACATAAGTGATATTTTTAGTGTTTAGTGAATATTAGCCATTAAAGCTTAAACGTACCGTACTGAATTTCATTAAAATCTTTCAAATATCACTTTTTTACAACTTTGCAGTGACTGAAAAAACTGAAAAGTAAAAACAGGAAGCAGAGGCAAATAGGTCAAATTTGGAAATGAAGTGCCAATGTGGAGATGGATGCAATGGTAAGCTGTATGTGTAAACAGTATTTAGCTTAGCTAAACAATTCCCATTTCTGAGACTAGGGTAAATACATAGGAAGTGCCCCTTTCTTTATCATCATAGGCTGTACAGAGTAGGCCTATGCCGGCTATGGCTATCCTATGCCTATAGACAATAGTTGCAAACTCAACTTGTGCCACCAGGCCTACTAATTGATAACTAGTAATCAAATTTGTACCTTTTACCTTAATTATCCATATATACACAGATATGAATGATTTACTGATAACTTACTATTTGTGTAAAATATGCAAATATTGGAAATGTAAATTAATTTGTCGATTGCATTTAAAGGGAGGTTAATCCATTATTTGATAGACTCGGTCAGCCCAGTAACGTGAATTTATGTTTGAGAATTCGTAACCAATTAGGCTAGTTCGGCCACTTATCAGAAAATTTTCTGTGTATGAAAATCATTTGATTAAATCTCTCTATAAACATGCCAGAAAGAAAAAGACCCTGAAGTCTCTCTTTTGTACTTATTGTCAGTGGTCAAAGAGAAATACATCGAGGAAGTGAAAAAGTCAAAGTGGCCGAACCTACACCAACAAAAGAGATTTAAACCACTTCATGGACGGAGCAAGTTCGACAATCGACAAGGAAATATCGCAACAGTAGCTGTAGGTCCCCTATATTATCAATTTCATTCATCATCATCTGATAAGACTGCAAAATAGTCCGAAAAATTCACTTACAAGGTCAAAATCAAGTCTAGTGAACGTTTGCTCGTAGTGAAAATGCCCGGTCTTGTCAATCTACCATACCGCCAAGTGTTGATAATTTCCTAAGCCAGCACACATCCAAACCAAACAAGATTCACATCATCAGTATTGTACTTAATTTTCAATAAATACGAATACATGATCGCAAACCTAATGACTTTACCACCAATCGGGAAGAGGGATCATGTTATGCTATTACAACTAACATCAAATCATCCAAAAACGAATCCTCCAGTTGACGCTACAGATACTAGAAGAAAAGGATAAAATAAATCATACGATAACAACAGTAGATGAAAAGTAGAGTAACTGTGGCTAAGTTAAAGGCAACTATGAGGACATGAGAAAGAACTTATCTGCAAAAATTGAGAAGATAAATTACCTGACCAAGATGCAGAAAATACTTGGAAAACATTTAAGAATATCCTCGAGGAAAACATAGAAAAGTTAATATATTTAACAAACCTAGGCAACAAAAGAAGAAGCAAGAAACTATAGTTGACCCCGAAGTAACTTTAGCTTTAAAGAAGAAGAGAAAGACCTGGTACAATTACTGCCGAAACAAGACTCAGTATAGCCTAATTATGAAGTATATAAAGTCTCCAGACATCTGGCTACCAAAACACAGTGAATAGCCCAAAAGAATTTCCATTGAATTTCTTCAGCTCGACTTTCACGCTATAAGAAAATAAATTAAATCTACCTTCACCCAATGATCAGCAACCACTAACCAAACTTGAGGAGATTATTATAACAGCCGAGATGGTCACTAAACAGCCATGGGATCTCGATTACTCAAAGTCACCTGGTCCAGATGATTTCCAGCCAAAAGTATTGAAAGAAAAATCACTAGTCATTGGCTTGCTCCTGTCAACACTTTTCAAAAGGTCTTTGCATGAAAGAATAGTACCAACTAAATAGAAGGAGGATAACGTCATTCCAATTTTCAAGAAGGGGTGCAAATCCAAAATCAAACAGTTATAGACCTGTCAGCCTCACTAGTATATTGGTCAAGTCAATGAAATCTCTAATGAGAGATTCAGATATGGTCCTTCAACAACCACTCAACTTCTTGAAGTACTGGACTACTTAACAGAAATATAGATTCTGCCATAGACCTACCCATAAATGCAATCTACTTGGACTTCCAGAAAGCGTTCGACAAGGTACCACATAAGAGACTAATCATCAAAATGCAAAATGGGTATATATCTGGTGGGCAGAAAACTTCCTAACCAACAGAAGACAAAGAGTAGTGTTTATAGTAGTGTCCCTCAGGGTAGTGTCCTAGGCCCAATATTTTTCCTCCTATATATTATAAACGATGTACCATCAATTGTCAAAGTAGTCATCAAACTATTTGCAGACGATACACAGCTTATGGGACATAGTGGACAGCAATTTGACATCGTCAATCTCCAATCAGATTTTAACAACCTAGTAGACTGGACAAACAAATGGATGATGTCGTTCAACATTGATAAATGCAAGTCAGCCCACTTTGGATTCAACAACCCGAAACACCAATATTACAAAAACCAAAACCGACTTCTTAATCTAGAATTCCAAGAAAAGGACTTTGGAATAGTATTTCAAGATAACCTGAAGTTCACAACCCGTATTGCAGATAATATCAAAAAGACCCCTGTGAATGATAAAACGAACATTTACCAATCTAGAAAAAGAGATGTTCCTGTTCCCTAATCAGACCACATATAGAAAATACGCAGTAACAGTTTGGTACCTAATATTGAAGAAGGATGTAATAGGTATCGAAAATGTCCAAAGGCGTGCACTGAAAATACATAGAAATCTGAAACGTTTGCTATATCCAGAAAGACTTAGACTTCTAGACCTACCAACTCTTGGTAAATACAACTTTGTAAACGATAATCCATTAACTTACTCAAGTGAAACAAGAACCAGGTGCAACAACAAAAAACTAAAGAAACAAAAAGTATGATTGGATGTCAGCAAAAAAACTGCCTTTGTCAGAATAACAAACATTTGGAATTTTCTAACAAATTCTGTTGTGAGTCAACAACCCTGAACCAGTTCAATCCCATCTGCATGGAAACACGACCAGTTAAAATACCGCCCAAGCAGGGTATAACAAGCAAGACTGTATCAGTTTTATCAGAACAGTCAATACGATTTATCGTTACAATTTTAAGTGATACTACGTCTTGGAATGAATATAAAATTTAAGTTCTCGAAAAGGTCAATATTAGTCTATATCAGTTAATCTTGGGTTTTTAAATAGTTAATTGTATATTCATGGATAAAGTTTTTTTTTTATTTATCGGGTAATATAAGGATCCTGTTATGTTATGGGCAGTATGAACAGTATGGTAGTAACTAATTTTAGACGCGAGTTGGACTTGCCCCATGTCGCTACTGGTGCAATATTTGCTACGGTTCATAGACCGTACTACCATCTTTAAATCATATAAAAATTATGTACTTTCCAAACAAAATCCACACTTTGTGAAGATTTGGCGAAGTTCAATAAACGAAACTTGTTAAAAATACGAGTTAATCTACAGCAAATATAAACGCAAAAGAAATGGATGCAAATACGCTCTCAATGCAGTTTTAACAGCTATGATCTTGAATAGTGAGCAAACAGCAGCTTGTTTGGTTTTTTTTTTTCATAAAACTTGGTAGTTCGATTTATCAATTATGAACAAAAAGTAGGCCTAGCTTCTTCAGTTTTCATTTTTATCCGCCCACATTATATAATGTGTTTATATATTGTCCGTGTCCCTGTCCCTCCGTCGATCCGTCCACAATGTGAACCCGATAAAGATTACAGTTCCTATCTGATTTTATTGAAGTTTGGTGTGATCATTTATATTCATGAGATCTTGGTCAAGTTCAAAGTTGACGATTTTTCGATGAACGGTTTGTGAGGAATTGCCCTTGACTTAGTATAAACGCGCCAGTAATCAACGATATCTATGACAAAATAGATTTTTTTGAATCCTATGTATATAGGAGTGATTTATAACTTAAACGGCAATAGCATCGTCTGCTAATCGCGCGCAAATAGTCACGTGATCAGTCTTGTCTTCTGCCATCTTGACTAAAAGCACTTATCTATTTGAGATATATTGTTATATCCAGAATATATAACATTACGTTTAAAGAATTCTAATCGGACTATTTTAATAAAGGAGTTTATATAACATTGTTCCCTAATAATTCATCAATTTGTCCGGTTTCTCAACTTATTAATTACATTTCTGTCCGTAATGGATATTTCTACAATTTAGATCCATTATTTCTCACTGAAGATGGCAAGGCTGTTACTCGAATTTATTTCATTAATCATTTGCATTCTCTTTTGGAATATTTAGGTTTTAATCATTATTTATATAATGACCATTCTTTCAGAATAGGAGCCGCTACATCTGCTGCTCGTAGTCAAGTTCAAGATCAAATGATCAAACTTTTAGGAAGATGGTCATCTGATTGTTACAGACGTTAGATTAGACCAGATTTACAATCAGGAATGCTCTTCATCTCATTTCCTGAATAATCAGATTAAAATCCTACAACCATCCACTTTAACTACTTTGGGGACTACACAAATGCTTACATTTGTTTATTTTGGCCTTTTATAGTATAATTTCATTCTACTATTCTACCCCAAAGTAGTAGGGGTTTAAATTTTAGTTTATTAATGAGATGTTCTTTTCTGCTTTGATCATCTGTTCACAATTTATCAAGGGTTTCACCCTTCCATTATTCATTATTCAATTATGTAATTTCATATTTACATTGTGTAGTCCCGTAGTGCCAAATAAAGTTTATATATTAGTGTTTTGTTATAAAGGTACGATTTGACACAGATTGGTGATCTATCTTGAAACACTGAAAATTTATCAGGGAACTGGGCGTACCATTTGTTAGTTATAGGTTAAACAATGGTGAACAAACAGTAGCCTCTTCGGCTTCATTTTCATAAAGCTTGAATGAAAAAAAAAAAGAAAATCAGATATTTTTAAAAAAAATTTTTCTTAAAACGTAGTATATTTATATGTTTAAAAAACTAAGATCAGGGAAGCAGTTTGCAAAGTTTTCTAAATTATTTCAAAGAAGCCTCGAACCTATCTACAAACAATGACGGGTGATTTTGAAGTGAACTACAATTTTATTTCATGACCATATCGTAGAAATCCAGAATTTATCCAGTTGTTTTGGGGACTGACTCCATCCTGAATTATGGAATATTTGATTTATTGAAAGATCGCTTTAAAATTTGCCAGATTTATACATCCAGTATTCATTTTATCCAAAATAAAAAGTTTAAAATGATACGCTTTAGTTTTTACAAAAGTTTGGAAATTTGATTGGTTGAATTATATAAAATTAACTTTTCCCATGTAACGGATACCATTTCCAGAGCCAAAATTAATTTTAGTTAAAATGTTGGTTTCTACAAGAAACGTCCGAAAAGGTTTAGCCCCATCACAGTCTGTCTAGGTAATTTTCAATCCATAAAATTTGTTGTTCCACAGGAATCTATCCTTGGACCACTTTTGTTTCTTATCTTCATAAATGATCTTCCAATTTATTCTAAAAATGTCATTCCCGAAATATTTGCTGTTGATACTACTATACATTTTTTCTGATAAAAAAATAGACTACATTCAAAGCTGTCTTCAAGTGAACATAAACATTACCAGCCAATGGTGCTATGATAATCATGGTTATCAACGCAAAAAAAAAACTAAAAGTTACCTTTCTCTTTCAATTGGTGACCAGAAGTTGGACAATGTCTCGGAAGGTATTTTACTCGGAATTACGATAGATGATCACTTAGACTGGGGAAAACATATAGCAAAACTTCACTCGTTTGTGTCATCAAAATATATCTTCTCAATAGAATTAAAATAAATCTACCGGTAGAAACACGAATATTATTTTATAATGCCTATATATTGTCATTTAGACTAATGTAATATTGTGTGGGGTAAAACTTTCCGTGATAAACTTGACTTCATATTTAAGCTACAAAAACGGACAACGCGCAGTATCCTCAACGCGAACTATGATGCAAGATCGGTAGACTTATTTCCTCAATTAAATTGGCTAACTCTTGAACAACAAATTAAATACAACACTGGGTTACTGACAAAATTATGAACGGAAAGTGTCCTCATTACTTTCAAAATTATTTTCGGTTACAATCTTCAATTTCTACAATAACTCTCTCTCTACATTCGGAAACAAACTCATTACATCTTCCCAAGTTCTTGATTGAGGCCATGAAAAGAACATTCAAATATAAGGCTAGTTTACTCTGGAATTCATTACCTCAAATACTTAAACAATCTAATGATGAAGAGAGTTTTAAGACAGGACTAAAAAGGGAATTGCGATCATAATATGTAATTGTGTTACTAATAGTTCTACATTTTCTCTTTATCTTTGATAACCAAAGGAAAATATTACCTCAATTAATTCAATATCGTTTGTGTTAGTCACATTATTATCGCAACCATTCATATTCATAATATTCATTTATTTTCTTTCTTATTGGTTGTTTATCATTTTGTAAATATGTTATTGTAGTTTTATGTAGAAAGATCCCAACTGATAAAGTTTGTATTATTATTATTATTATTATTATTATTATACAGTGAATGAAGTATAACATCTATTGACTAATTTTAAACACTAGAAATAAACAAAAGAGGAAATCTATACATAAACAAACTAAAACAAGTCTGTTTACGGTTACATTGTTAAGGCTTAGCTTCCTTACATTAAAACAATACAACTGTTTTAATAACATCATATGTTAAACTCTAACGTACCATCAGAGACGAAAGGAAAAAACAACTGGACGTGACATTACTGCATGTCATTAGTTTGTTAAGAGATGTTAGATGACTATGACTTAGACAAAAAAAATCTAAATATCATTTATTTTTACTCAGTCAAGTGTGTTTAAAGTTTTAACATTCAACTCTTAATAAGTTTTGATTATATTTAATTTGAAATAAAAAGGTAAGTTAAATTATTCTGTACCAATCGTCAGTTTAGGCTCACTAAATATGTAATATTGAAATAGTACAACTTGGTCGCAATACAAGTAAACGTGTTATCATTATGTCATTATGTGTTTTTGATAAACGATTCTTTTTGTTATACGCAAAATACATAATGTAAAGAGTACTAGTGATAATAAACTGTATGATATTTTGGTATTCATAGACATGTTCTGACTAGTGTGTCAGATTTTTTTTTACAAAACCTTGAGGTTCGGTTATTTATATATGTACATCTGTCCTTTTACTAGAACTGGTATATCCCACATCAGTTGAACTAGAGCAAATAATACCACATCTTATATCTTAGAACATGTTGTGGTTATTATTTCAGCTGCACCATGGCAGTTAACATACCTGGAATAATAGCAGTCATTATATTTTATATATTGATCATTGCTATTGGTATTTGGGCTGGAAGAAAGGGGGCCAATTCTACAACAGAAGAACTGCTGGTAGCCAATCGTGGAATGGGATTAATCGTTTCATTCTTTACCATGACAGGTTACATTTAATTAACGGCTGACTTACGCTGTTTTCATTAATATACTTTTTACAAGACAGTTATTTTCATATCTGAACCAATTCTTTACGAATCTTTAGAGTACATGTATTGCATTTTGTAACAGGCTGGCTATAATCTCAAAATCGCTCCCCCTGATAAATAGAAATAGCATCTTCAATATTGTGACGTTTCTAGTAACACCATCAGAGATTATGTCCAACTGAAAGGAAAAAATGTTTATTTTGCACAAAGAAATTTGTTAAAACTTAGAGGATAAACTTTCATTTTTAGCTACACTAGTTGGTGGGGCTTATATAAATGGAACGGCGGAGATATTAGCATCAAGTGGAGTAGTATGGGCTCAAGCTCCTGTCGCTTATTGTTTAGCTTTTTTGATAGGTATTTATACATCTCAATCAGCTTTAAATAACTCTTAGTGTTATTTAAGATTAGACATGGCTCTTTTATCACTTGTCAATCAAAACCGAATATTTTTGTATTTGTCAGAAATCAGAAAAGGTGTCACTGGCATAAACTATATAACCACTGTCAGTTTATATAAGCTGTACGTGAATTGTCATTGGAAACACCTATCACGTTTCGTCATCAGAAAATGAAATCTAAAAATGAAATCTAAAAATGAAATCTAAAAATGAAATAATAATGATAAACCCTTTATTTTACATGGGTCAGAACGAGGTCCAAACTACGAGGACATGGTGCTGTGTTACATTCATCTCATCTGGTGACGAAAAGTGTAAATTTTGTTGAAACTTCATTTGCTAGATTTTTATACGCCCACATGGAAATCACTGAAGCTCCATCAAACCTTAATTAGCCAGTGGTACTCATTCATTTTGATCAAGTAGATACATAGATTTAAATAGCATACTTTAGAAATTTTAAGGGATAATTTTCGACGTTTTTTGACAATGAAAATGTTTTACAAAAATGTAATGCCCCTTTAAGTTCATCTGAGCAATGAAGTTTACAAATTAAACACTATGTTCATGCTGCTTTTTATTGAATCAAAACACTTATCAAAGCTGCAATGTGGGCGTACGTTTATCTTTCTTGTTGGTAGCTATCTTGAAGACTTTTGTCGGTAAACAAAATATATCTTTCCTACAAAATGTCTCCTCTGACACCTGTTATTTCAAAGTTCCAGTTTTGGGATGTTCCTTTATAGGTGGCGTGATTTATGGTCCAAAGATGAGAAGAGCTGGGTATATAACAATGTATGACCCTTTCCAGATAAAATTTGGTAATCGTGTAGGAGCACTTATGTGTATTCCACAGTTTATGGGTGACCTCTTCTGGACAGCTGCCATTCTTGCTGCTCTCGGTATGCTCTGTGCATCATTTTTATTATTATTTTATACAAAATAGTTTTGCATTCATTTCATTCATCAACCGCTAAGAATGAGTTATATGACACCTTCTAAATAACGCCATACATCTGTTTGGTTACTGAAATATATAAACCTTTACCTCATATTTACCCCCAAGTGTTTTTCAGGTTCTACTATAGCAATTATTTTAGACATAGATCAAACTATTGCGGTGATAATATCAGCTTGTGTGGCAATCTTTTATACCGTATTAGGTGGTTTGTGGTCGGTAGCATATACAGATGTCGTTCAGTTAATTTGCATTGCTATTGGGTTGGTAAGTAGAATCACTCTCTCCTTTTTTTACTGTTTATTAATATTTCAAAGACGATTTTTCACCCTTGATTTTGCCATGCTTTGGACGAGATTTTGATTAATGGAATTGCCTTGCTTGCACGGATTTTTATACTTTGGCTATTCAAATGTTCTGCATGGTCCGTAGTATACTTCAGATCGAAATGATTTCAAGTGTTAGTTAAGGATTATCCTGTACTGCACATACAAGAGGATCATTATTTTGTTACTTGATAAAATATGTAGCTAAATAATTTCGAATTTTCACTATTTGGGAATCCGATTAATGTCATTTCGACCTTCAGACGTTACAAATCATGTCGAGAAATCCATACTGTGGACCAAAAGTTATGATTTCAGTGACGTTGGTAATCTTATTTTAGATAATAGCTGTGCCATTCGCATTGAACCACGAGTCAGTTGATTTCAGTCGAATTTCGGATTCATGGCAAGGAACAATTCCTACCAACCAAATTGGTTACTTCATTGATATATATGGGGTTTTACTACTAGGAGGTATTCCATGGCAGGTAGGCTATTAAATGAAATAAAGATTGAATTAACCAATATTTTCGATGCATTTTGCCAACAATGAAAATTCACCGTATTCTGGCACGAAGAAATCATATTTATTGTGAAGTAGTAAGCTTCTATCACTAGGTCTTGATTACAGTCAGTGGTCTATATCATTGAATATACCTAGAAAGCAAGAATTATTTAAACTCATCAACAGTGTTTACCACCCTTTTATAATAATCACTAACTTGTCTCTTGACCTAAAGTTTGGCATCAGGCAATTACATATTATATTCCTTTTTTAATATCATAATCCTTGTTTGTATACCGTTTTGTGCTTTAGGTGTACTATCAAAGGATATTGGCATGTAAAACACCGGAAAGAGCTCGACTAGCATCACTAGTAGCTAGTGTAGCTACCTTTTGCTTTGCGATTCCAGCAGCTTGTATGGGAGTCGCAGGAGCTTCTGCAGGTATTTTTTATGTGTATCTTTAGTAAAGGTAAAATAAAGTAAAAATGGAGACAAACGACAAACTGTTCAAATTATATTGTGTACGTGAAAAATATAAAAAAAACCTTTTTATACCTTCAATTTTAAACTTGTCAACACCCTAGAAGGCACAATTCTTGTTTTTGCAAACGCGTTCAATTTTCAGCTCAAAAAGGTTCAATTCCTGATGAACTCAAAAAATTCAATATGAGATATTTCCCATGTGTTTAAAAAATGTTTAGCTTGTAAACAATGTAAAAGGCACAAAAAGGATTTTGACAAAACTTAGCAATATTGTTCAGTATCGCTCAGTTCAAAAGAAGTGTTTCTTCACGTCGAATCAACAACATTTCAACTAATAGATCTCTCTCACTATTTTTTTCAAGCCATCGACTAAAACTCATATGCAGTTTTCTGTGACATTTTGGCATGCTGGCCTCTGTCATAAGCTTGGGGCTGTGGGCATCAGAGGAGATCGCAATCAAAGAGTAGTTGTAAGTGGAGTTTCCTCTGAACTTAAAACAGTCCCAGTTGGTGTTCCACAGGGCTCTGTCCTTGGACCATTACTATTCCTTATTTATACTAACGATATTGTGAAACAAATCAAATCTCATATTCGACTTTTTGCAGACGATACGTCTCTTTATCTAAAAATTGATGATCCGAATGCTTCCGCTGAGGTACTTAACCATGATTTAAACACCATCAATAACTGGGCAAAAACATGGCTGGTATCCTTCAATCCCTTAAAAACAGAAACACTTGCATTTACTACTAAATCGAACCCTCTACTACCAACTTTGAACTTAGATAAAACACCAGTCCAAGAAGTTTCATTTCATAAACATTTCAAAACAATTGTCAGTGGGATGTGCACATAAACATTATTTTATCGAAAACCGGCAGGATGATTAATTGTATCAGATCTTTAAAATACCGACTTAGCAGGAAATCTATTCTTACAATATATACTTCTTTTATTCCCCCACACTTCGACTACTGCGACATAATTTGGGATGGGTGCACTGCCGAACTAACAAACAAATTAGAAAATCTCCAACTTGATGCACTCCGAACAATCTGTGGGGCAGTGAAAAGTACCAGCCACCAACTACTATACGAAGAAACAGGATTTATATCACTACAGGAGAGAAGAAGGCGGAATAAATTAGTAATGATTTATAAAATACTTAACAACATGACTCCGCAATATTTATCTGATCTCCTTGAATATAGACAGTCCACCTACAATCTGAGAAACATTAATAATTTGAATGAATATGCTTGCAGAACTGATCTTTTTTATAAATCCTTTATTCCATCATCTATACGCCTCTGAAACCTTTTACCAGACTCCCAAAAATTTATTCCATCCATATCCGCATTTAAATCTTCACTTAAATCTAAAGACAAAACAGTGCCAATCCATACTACATCGGCCAACGAACGAATCAAATCTTACATAGCCGTCTTTGCCTCTCTTGTAGTGATCTAAACGGGCATAAGTACCTCAGACATATCTCCGACAACCCGGAATGGATTTGCGGACATCAATTTGAAGATGCATATCACTATCTCCTAAAATGCCCCTTATATTTAGATGCACGCCGCCGCTCTATTCTTCTGCTTCAACCAAAATTTATTAACCTAAACCACCTATTATATGGATCAGATATTCAAACTGAATCTTTAGAAATATTTGATCAGGTCCACTCATTTCTCAATCTTAGTAAACGCTTCTAATTTTCCCCTAAAAGAGAACGTGTGTGGCTTCTCAAAATACCATTATATTACTTTTTCCTTATTCATTGTTGTACAATATGTAAATGTATATACATTAGTATTATAATTTATAATAACTTTAATTTAATGTATATAATTATTAATTTTCATTGTTTTTTGGAAAGGGGTCATATAGGCGTAAGCCTGTTCTCCAATCCTGTTCATATGTATATGTGAATAAAATATTGTTTACAAAAAAAAAAGAAGTGTTTGACTGGTGATTGTTACTGTACTGCCAAATATTTGTATTCAAAACCAAAGCTGTCAGTTAGCGTATATTACCTTGCCAGGCAAGCTATATTTGACATGTGTATGTAATTTATTTCCAGACTGGAATCAAACAAGCTACACGGGAGAAATTCCAATCCCTAAGGAGAAGATGAGTTATATATTACCATTAGTACTCCAGTATCTCTGTCCACTACCAGTATCATTGATAGGTTTAGGTGCAGTCTCAGCAGCAGTCATGTCTTCAGCTGACTCTAGCATATTATCTACATCATCTGTTTTTGCTAAAAATATATATCAACAGTTTTTCAGACCAAAGGTTTGTTTCTTTCTCTTTAAGAGAGGTGTTCTCTTGTTATTCTGAATGTTAAACACCGAATCATTCATCACCTTCTTTGTTAATTTATGATTTCTATAGTTTGATAGTAAAGACTGTTTCTTTTTTAGGCTTCTGATAGAGAAATGGTATGGGTTTTAAGAATTGGTATTATAGTAGCAGGTGCCCTGGCTACATCTATCGCAATAGGAGCAAAAAGTGTTTATGGATTGTATGTTTTATGCTCCGACTTAATGTATGTTATTCTCTTTCCACAATTTACATGTGTTCTATTTTTTGATGTTAGTAATGCTTATGGGTCTTTGATAGGATATACCATTAGCGTCATCTTACGAGTTATAGGTGGAGAAGCAGTGGTAAAAATACCTCCTTTAATACATTATCCGTTTTATACCGAGGAAGCAGGACAAAACTTTCCATTCCGGACTTTAGCAATGTTGTGTAGCCTGATTTCAACAGTTCTATTCTCTTGGTTGTTTGAAATTATGTTTAAAAAGGAGATCATACCGAAAAGATTTGACGTATTCGGTTGTACCAGTCCTGACTTTCGTGAACGACTAAAAAATCGCGAACAGGAAGAACTGAATAAGACTGTTCCACTGATGGATAACGTGGAATTGCGATCAACTACTAACTCAACTATAAGAATACCAGTAGATGACAGTAAACCTTTAAATGCTGACTCATGATGTGTGGTACATGATATATGTAAAATAAATATTTATAAAACTGTACAGTATGCATTTTTGTGATATTTCCCAATGGATTCACTGGGAACAACAATCAGATTTTGAATGAGTTTGCAAATTTGTCAAGCAGTTGAAAGATTCTAATATAAATTCGACGAAACTACAACAAAATCGCGAATTAATACCAACTCGCAAATTTACGCCGTTTCGTGGCACAAAACAGAAAGTGTTTTGGAATTGTCAATATTATTATATTTATAGCTCTACGAACTTTGACACATCGCGCCCTACCTGGTGTAAGATTTAATCATCTGTCAAGAGTTTTCGCACCCATCTTGCAGAATTTTGTCATTTCCAGCTCTTAGTTGTTAATATGCCCAACCTTCACATAAGAGATGCCTCATAACACTGAAAGTGTGTCAATATCATCATTGTCATATTACGAAAGGCCTTCCTGGTAGCGGGTCATTATCAAGGCTCTCTCTACCACGCTTAAATTCCACAGTCCACATTTTTACAGTGGAAGTGGATGGGCTTCGTCTCCTAAAGAGAGAATCTATCTAAGTAAGCCCTTTCAGTTGCAGGTACTTGATGACTGCCCTTTGTCCATTTCCGGTTCCTTAAGATGGTTTGTTACAAAAAAATAATAAATTACTATTGAAGTTCTTCTATGAGAAGTTTCTGAGTTCGTTCGCCATTCTTGATGTATCAATTTATTTTCGAAAAGACTGACAATCTATCTTGTCGAAACCTTTTCAAACACATAGATACCAGACCGCTTTGTTTAGAAACAAATGAAGTAGATATTATGATAAAATTGTATTTTATATTCACAACCCAGTCTGTTGTAAATATTAATCAGCTATACATCACTTTATGCGTGTGAAAGCAAACATTAGGCTTGTTAAAAAACTGTTCAAACTTGAACTTTTTAGATCAGCGACAATTGATATTTGATATTTAAAGGTTATTATTTCTGGCCAACATGGCAGTGAATGTGGCTGGTTTGATATCGGTTATTGTGTTTTACATTCTGATCCTTGGAATCGGTATTTTTGCTGCTAGACGCTCTGCTCATTCGTCTGCCACAGATGTTTTGGTTGCCGGAAGAAGTATGGGACTCATCGTTTCTATTTTCACAATGACGGGTATGTCTTCCACTGTATTGCACACGTAACCATAGCTGTAATGGTTGATTTCCAGTCATTTTAAGTTATTTTCCTAATATATGCTATTTGGAATTGAAAAGGTTGAGACGCATGCTATTCAGTGATATTCAAAAATTCATATCATTGAGTTCTTAAATGCCTGGAGCTATTGGCCTTCCACGGGATAATGGATGCTATTGGAATCAATTATTGAAATAATTGGGGGCTGGAAAGCATTCTATTGAAATGATTGGGAAACATTCTAATGAAATGATTGGGAAACATATTGAAATGATTGGGAAACATTCTATTGAAATGATTGGGAAACATTCTATTGAAATGATTGGGAAACATTCTATTGAAATGATTGGGAAACATTCTATTGAAAAAATTGGAAACATTCTATTGAAATGATATGATTGGGAAACATTCTATTGAAATAATTGGGAAACATTCTATTGAAATGATTGGGAAACATTCTATTGAAATGATTGGGAAACATTCTATTGAAATAATTTGAAAATATTCTATTGAAATAATTGGGAAACATTCTATTGAAATGATTGGGAAACATTCTATTGAAATGATTGGGAAACATTCTATTGAAATAATTGGAAAATATTCTATTGAAATGATTGGGAAACATTCTATTGAAATGATTGGGAAACATTCTATTGAAATGATTGGGAAACATTCTATTGAAATGATTGGGAAACATTCTATTGAAATGATTGGGAAACATTCTATTGAAATAATTGGGAAACATTCTATTGAAATAATTGGGAAACATTCTATTGAAATAATTGGAAAATATTCTATTGAAATGATTGGGAAACATTCTATTGAAATGATTGGGAAACATTCTATTGAAATGATTGGGAAACATTCTATTGAAATAATTGCAAAATATTCTATTGAAATGATTGGGAAACATTCTATTGAATTGATTGAGAAACATGATATTGGAATAATTGGAAAATATTCTATTGAAATGATTGGGAAACATTCTATTGAAATGATTGAGAAACATTCTATTGAAATGGCGGGGAAACATTTTACTGAAATGATTGGGAATTATCTATTAAAATAATTGGAAAGCATGTGAAAAGCTAAATATAATTTTGTTAAATATAAGAAAGGCGCTGTATCTATATAAAAGAATAACAGTACAGTAAGAAAGACGCTTCACTTTTCTAGTAAAATCAATCAATAATGAATCCTTTGCAGCAACAATAGTCGGTGGTGCTTACATCAATGGAACGGCAGAAATCATGGCATCAAGTGGTATTGTTTGGGCTCAGGCTCCAGTGGCTTATTGTATTGCTTTCTTTATAGGTATGTGACTTTTTTATGAGATTGTTGGTAGTATATTGTCATCGTCATCATCATCATCATTAACATCATCATCATACTAGAATAAAAACAATACTCGTACATCGATTTAGCACCATTAACATATTATCATCATAGCTTATTAATTTGGCACTAGTTATAATATTTAATGTTTCAGGAGGAAACGTATATGCTCCAAAAATGAGGAGAGCGGGCTATCTCACATTGTTTGATCCTTTCCAAATAAAATTAGGAAATAGAGTTGGAGCATTGATGTGCATTCCTCAGTTCTGTGGAGATTTATTTTGGACAGCTGCTATACTTGCAGCTTTAGGTAAGAGAAATAAAGTATACATCTACACAATCAGTTTGTCGTTCCCTGATTTTTGTTACTTAAAGAATAAGCATTCTCTTCCTAATTATGATATAAAGTTTCTTGGATTATGTTTTAAGAAATTAACTCACTATCCCATAATCCAATAGATTCTATCTTGTTATGGAATAACTGATGCTGGATCCAGTATGTGAACATGTCATACTGTGAGATATTTATTTGTTTATATTATTAGGTTCAACAGTTTCTATAATATTAGATATTGACGAGAAAATTTCTATAATAAGTTCAGCTTGTGTTGCTGTGAGTTATACTATATTGGGTGGATTGTGGTCTGTAGCATATACAGATGTAGTACAACTAATTATTATATTTATAGGATTGGTAAGGATTTAGGAATTTTTAATTTAAATTAGATCTGTCTGCAATCAAATAACCCAATACATAAACTGATAGAATACACTTGTTTTATTTCTTCCTCTTACCAGGATTAGTTATATATTTGCAAGGACAGGTAATGTGAATCGTGAAATATTTTATTTTGACACAACTCAGCTACTGATGGCAATCAATGTTTAGCTGGCAAGTCTTCACAGCATCTATCAGTACACGAAAACGAAGAACAAAGTTCTTTTTACAATGTCATGGGTCATGGAAAAGGATAATTTCCACTGAAAGATTTTTATCAAATATTTTGTATTTCTTATTTCTTTATGAGTATCATAATATAAGACGGGTAAAAGTAGACTTGCTTACTATAGTCCAGATACGAATTCTATTACAAGTTTTATTTGACAAAACTTTTCCATCCAAACCTAGCATCACTTAGACAGATCATCATAATCGGTGGAAACGATAACAACACCAGCAGTAGCACAACCCGCAATATCGTCAGGAACTATAATCGACATTTTGTGTATAATTACAAAAGCATGTCAAGGAATACTTTGGTAAAAAATACCGAAAAATTTCAGGTAGTGGCGGTACCATTTGCTATGAATCACCCTTCTGTTGATTTTGAACGTGTTCAGATTTCATGGAAAGGAGAGGTTAAGATGTCTCAACTTGGATCATTTATAGATGTATATGGTTTATTACTACTTGGTGGCATCCCATGGCAGGTAATGTAATATTAATGAATCATTTGATGGATGTTGCTGGATTGTTTTATTGGTATCAAAAACGTGCTGACTGAGATGACAACAGGTTACTGTATCACTGACTTCAGCTATTCATCTGAACATTCTGTCCATGCGATCAAAGTTTGGGCTACTTTTCGTCTTTTTATTTAACTTCACATTTGATGCATATTCTGACTGGCTGCCGAATGGACAGTAGTTAACCTATGTTCATTTGATTGTTTTTAGGTTTATTTTCAAAGGGTCTTGGCGTGTAAAAACCCTAAGAGAGCAAGAATAGCATCTTCTGTTGGAAGTATAGCAACATTTTTGTTTGCTATACCAGCCGTTATGATGGGTGTCACTGGTTCAGCAGCAGGTACATTTCATAATTTATTCATTTTCATGTGGAGATTATGGTATTCGATAGTTTTTTTTATATGTTTTATTATAAAAGTAACCCTTATACCGATCATGTTTCTGAGATATTGTTACATGAAGGTATTTTTATGTACCTGTTCTCTTTTATACAAACAACTACATGTTAATCAATCAGACAGTGGTATCTTAATTTTTCAGACTGGAATCAAACTGAATATACAGGAACCATACCAATACCACCATCGAAGATGAGTTACATTCTTCCTCTAGTTCTTCAGTACCTCTGTCCACTACCTGTGTCTATCGTCGGTATGGGGGCTATATCGGCAGCAGTCATGTCTTCAGCAGACTCGAGTATACTATCAACAGCATCAGTCTTCTCTAAGAATATTTATCAACAACTATTCCGACCTAAGGTAGTCTGTAATGAAATCAGTTTTAAAATAGTGTCTTTTTTTATTTCAAATCTCATTTCATGAATAAGAGAGACTATAACTGCTCTTATCTAGCAGCTCCCACAACCATAATGATCACAAAACTTGGCTTTCCAAGAGAATAGTTCTATAGCCATATTAAAGTGGCTTCGTAATCTATAGATGTAATATTGGTTATATAATTATTGCCTATGTCAAATAACAATGAGATGACAATATTGATTAAACTATCTTTTACAAATGTATTTTTATTACCTATGTACATATCCATAATCAGAAATAAAACCTTACATTGTAGGCGTCGGATAGAGAAATAATGTGGGTTATCCGAATTGCAGTAATCTGTGCTGGTGTTTTAGGTACAGTTATTGCTCTTAGTGCTGAAACTGTGTATGGGTTATATGTGCTGTGTTCAGATCTAATGTATGTTATCCTGTTTCCCCAGTTCACATGTGTATTATTTCTGGAAGTAACCAATGGTTACGGATGTGTTTGTGGTTATATGTTTAGTATTATACTTCGAATCCTTGGAGGCGAACCATTAATAAAACTACCAGTACTGCTCAAATTTCCCTTTTATACAGAAGAAACTGGGCAAAACTTTCCCTTCCGAACGTTAACGATGGTTCTTAGTTTTCTTGCAATAATTTCAATATCCCTTTTGTCCGAGTTGTTATTTAAAAGAAACATTTTGCCAACTAGATGGGATATATTTGGGTGTACAGAGACAAATTTTAGAAAGCGGCTTATAATTCAGGAGAAGAAAACACAAGATGAATTAATGCTAAAAAAGAACGAAATGAAAAAACGCGAGGAGACGCCCGTCACTGATGCATTGATCCCAACTGATAATATATGTTTACAGTCATACATTACAGCAAAACCTTAACACAGTATGTAAAACAATGATCACTGCCTGATTATGAATGTTTATAGATCGATGAAAGTGATAACATTGTCATTATATTTATATGAGTTTAATATACTGCCTCAATAATTATTGTGCAATAAATTGGAAAGTTAGATGTATTTTTATATATTCTTTATTCAATTCCATCCTTCTGGAAGTACAATTGCCCAATGCTTGTCATAAAAATATTTGAGTACAGAGTAGCCTACGTACAATATCAAACCCGATCCTATTGTCTGTGAATCCTGGAATTGTTGTCGTCAAAATTTCGTGCAGAACGCCCTTTTCGGATCCCATGGAATAAATGATTGGAGTGTTTTTTTCACAGTTGCTGCTAAGTTGACTGCAGGCCTTTTAATATTGTCGGTGATGCAGGTCTGTGGGTAAACTGTGGAATCAATAGTTTTTCGACTGAAACAAAAATGGTAGTTAAAAAATTCAGTCAGTTTGCGAAAATTCGATGTTTATATTAATGGTTTTTCCAAAGGTCAAGATTCAATTACAGCCTTTGTTTATTAATTTCTTTGCTTGATTGTTGGTGGTTTTAAGAAGAGACAACAAAGGGCGCTATGTCTGTGTTATGATGGTATAAATATGCAGTCCTGGCCGTCTTGCTGTGTATAGTATCTCAATCCATAGGCTTCCCCAGCTTGACTGAATGTCGTAGTTTCATCTTCTGGCAGGTCAATTGCTGTGTGCTCAATAGAGGTTAATATATAATAACGTCTGATGAATAGTCATCCAAGGTCTTGTGTTTTGCGACTTGAAGTGACAGAGTTTCTATGTATTTTGGTGTGAAGTTTTATATCCAGAGGATATTGGATAAGTTAGATTTTTGATGCCATTTAACACATTGACCTGAAAAGTTAAATGGATAAGTTATAGGTGTTTTTTTTAGTTATTTTATGCTTGAATTAAAGGGGTGAATGACGAGAAAAAAATTCTCAAGTGGGGAAATCGATCATAAACGTTGAGAAGCACTGGTATGAGTCTTTTATAAAAACATGTAGTGAGTTTGTGATAAAAAGGAAACCGTTTTGCATCTATTTGACAGACATAGTGCACTCCTTAAACCTGTCCATTTCGTTATATATCCACTCTCACTGTATTTGTCACAGTGAACCCTTTGACAAGAAATGCATTCAAATTCGCGTAAACTGCAGTGGGTCACGTGGTCACATTCCTGAGCAATATGGCTGCTGTTGAGGGCTTATTTTTGTAACGGCAATCTTTTTGAAATATAATTTATCAATCGGGAACTTCGTGAAAAGAATACATGAGACAGTGGAAATATAAGCAATGAACGATGGACCCACTGCAGTTACGGTGATATGAATACATTGGTGAAGGTGCCAAATTTATCATGACTGCCTTCGGCAGCTCATTCAATTTGGCACCTTGCCCAATGTAATCATTAACATAAGTTTAATAGAGAGGCCAGTGTCTCCTTCGATTTTGATACAAATTTTCACAAAGGCAGGTTACCTCGTTGTAAGCTAACTATTCCACAGTCGAGGTTACGTTATGTGAAAGGCTGGATAATCTAATCTTATTTGAATATCACTGTATAAGAACTATTTATAACTCTATGATATCACATGATGCTTCCGGGCAGCTGATTTTATTTTAAAGAGATGATAATCGAATCAAGGTTGATGTTATATGATATAATTGATAGATGTAGAGATAACAAGACTTGTATCAGATTGTTTGGAGACTTTCTAACTGATAAAAACGGAAATTTATTGTCTTGTTTTTATGCGACCTGAATTGAGTGACAATATTAAGCAGTTGGATATCAAAACAAACCGAAAGTAGAGTTGACTTCCTTATTCATGCAGCACACTCTGGCCACACTCTGAGGAGAAGACACTTTCTAAAGTAGGATGACGAAGTATAAGTATAGTAAGCTGGAAGATTCAGAAGATGGAGCTGTCTTAGATAAGTCCTGTGATGGAAATAAATCTCCAGATTTACCAAGAGGAAAGAAGTTTGAAGTTCATGTCAAGAAAGTCAGCATGAGAAATGGAGTATTTTGTGAATTTTTGATAATTTTGATTGTATTTTTGTTGTGTTTAATGTTAATACAATCAGCGTTCACAAACACCTGTTTATTTTCAAAAGTTTTTAATTATACCAAATCTTCCCTCGATCACAAGCAATCTGATTTGAGACATACTCCTAGTTCTTTGAACAGACACCAGTCTTATTTTGAGATTGTTGAAATAAACATTGAAGAAGATGTGGTCTATCAAGAAATCAGTCAAAATCAAGTAGATGAACAAGCAGTTGTCAAAAACTTTCAACAATACAAAACTTCAAAAGAAAAAACTCGAGATAAACAATGTTATATTGTTGATGATGGGAAGAAATTTGATTGTCATCCTGAAGCAGGGACAACAAAGGAGACATGTGAGGCAAGAGGATGTTGTTATTATCCTGTTAAGAAATATAATGAAAATCCACCAGGCATACCTTACTGTTATTATCCTTTAAACTACCCCAGTTACACTGTTGATAAAATAGAAAATAAAAAACAAGGTTATGATGTGTTTTTATCCAGAAAAACTCCTTCATATTACCCTCAAGATGAAATGAATTTGAAAATGGAAATCAAGAAGGAAACTTCATCAAGACTTCATATTAAGGTACTGTATTTATTATAGGTAGGAGACATATTTCTCTGCAATTATGGGTTTATTTCACTTCAATCCGTACAGTAGTTTTCTAACAGTTTTCAAAAGGTATAACAAGCTTTAATAGTTTATATGAACTTTTGTAAGCTTTTTAAATTGTTTGGCGTTAAAAAATTAGCGGCTTGATTTTAATTAGTTAAAAGTTTCAGATACGTTAAGGGACACGGTTCTCTAGACATTGGTGTATAGTTTTCAAAAATTTGAGCTAAAAATTTTCTCAACCTACAAAAAAGCCTTTAAATTAAAAAAAAAAAAAGACTGGTAAAAGTGAAAAAAAATGCCCCTTGTATAGTCAAAATGCTGCAGACAAACATAAAAAGGAGATCTATTAATGCTGAGTTTCAATCAGAATTTTTTTTCAAGTTTTTGCTAAATGGTTTATAAAGTTTATAACTTCTTGTTTAGGTCTAGAGCTGACTTAAGTACATTTTAAAGACGTGTCTTTGTTGTAGTCCAGAGTAACCTCAACCTTAACAGTAACATGATTTTAGTCTCAGCCATTTCAAACTCTTGTCATGCTCTGTGATTGTTGGTGGATACAAAAAAATTCTCTATATATTTAGTATCTAGATATGTCTTTTAAAATATTTTGATTATTCATCTATTATTGTTGCTATCTAATATAGCCTGCTGTGGATAATCAATCTCAGTTTGGTAATCGATACGGACCCATATAAATAGTAACAATCCTTAACCATTTAAATAAATATTTGTACAAAATAAAGATTCCATAATAAGTGAAAGGTTGTGTTGTTTTAGATCAGTAATCAGAAAGAAGATAGATGGGAAGTGCCCCTCCCAACTTCAGGCAGTACCAAGAGAGATACTGTCATTCAACCTGACAATGAAGATACTCTATATTCAGTGGCTGTGGCTGATGTAGGACAACCGTTTGGTTTCCAAGTCAATAGAACTGGTGATGGAGCTAAAAATATGTAAGTTACAACTGACTGAGTGGTCCACTGTTTAGGTGAAAAGTTTGAATTGTGGTTCTGATCATCAAGAAATTGCGAGTTACTTTTAGCCCTCCAGTAATAGATTAATTTAATACAGTAGATGTTATATGTGTTTCTGTTAATATTACAGATTGGAAACAGCAGGAGGGTTTATATTTGCTGACCAATTTTTACAGTTATCCTATTTTTTGCCCTCTCAATTTATATATGGATTAGGAGAACATAGAGATTCATTATTACATTCTATGAACTGGACAAGATTTGTTTTGTGGAATCGTGATCAACCTCCCACTGTAAGTCATGTTTTTTATTAAGAAATAACTCATGTAGGAATAGAAATTAGCTACAATGTTTTCACAAAAAACAAATAGTTGACTATAGTAGCTGTAAAGCGTGCAATGATCACTTATATACAATATATACACAACTCTTTGTAGTCTGGGGTGGCTATGATGTCCTGGGTCAAAACTCACAAAGATGTCATGTCACATATCATGTAGCAAATTTTCAACTGTACAGTCATTTTCAGGAGGGGAACTCATTAAACAATCTTTTTTTTAGGAAAATGGTAATTTATATGGAAGCCACCCATTCTATCTGATGATGGAGAATGATGGTAATAGTCATGGTGTTTTATTATTAAATAGTAATGCAATTGGTAAGCTTAATGCGTTTATTTGCCCTTTGTTACATTTACAAACTTGTTTGAAACATCGTTTACACTAAGTTGCTTTTAAGTAGCCAGAAAATGAATGAATGAATGATATTATCAATATTAATATTATGGACTACTTAACTTAAGTCTGAAATATAAAAATATCAATGCACAATGTTACCGAATACTCTATTGAAGTCTGTAAATATTATGTTGTTGGTATATTTTAGAGGTATTATTACAACCAGCTCCAGCTATAACATGGAGAAGTATAGGTGGTGTGATAGATTTATACATGTTTCTTGGACCTAATCCTAGTGATGTTATACAACAATATACTGAGGTCATAGGTCGTACCTTCATGCCACCATATTGGAGTTTAGGATTTCATCTTTGTAGATGGGGTTTCCATACAGTAAATGAAACAATGCAGGTGGTAAAGAACATGTCTAGATATGGCATACCTCAGGTAATTGATATATTAGTTCATGATGAATATTAGTATGACACTGACCAATGGGAGACAACAGGGACATTGGTGCCACTGCTTCTCAAAGGGCTATAACAAGTTCATGTTAGAGCAATTATAAATTTGTTTAAGAAAAGGGCAAATACAAATTTGATTCTGGCTATTTTATAGGATGTACAATGGAATGATATAGATTATATGGATGCTAAAAAAGACTTTACCACTGATCTGAAGAATTTTGGTGATCAGTCAGCCATGGTGGATGAATTTCATAAACTAGGTTTACATTACATTATGATAATTGTTAGTCAATGTTTATATTTACTATATATATTTTATTGTTAATGTATTCTTTCAGAAAGGCATTGGGTTTTTAGAGTTTATTAAAGACATAAAACTTTAAACCATGTGATGAAATGTTGAATACGACTAGCACAAGCAAGTTTTTCTCAAAGCTATTCAGTTTAGCTTTGCTAACTACTTCATTAGGAATATATGTGTGTATTAAAGACCCATTTTACAATAAGGAAGTAGATTAATGCTGTTGTGGGAATTTTTTCTCATTGCATACTGCATGGCTCTGTCTATCTCCATGTTCAGTTCACGCCTTCATAGGTGATATCAAACTCAACTTTAATTATAAAGACTTAGTAATAATTAATTTCATTTGTATGATTTTTTAGGATCCTGGAATTAGCAGTACCACATCACCTGGTACCTACCATCCATTAGATTTAGGTTTAGAAATGGGAATATTTATTAAAGATATTAATGGTAAACCTATTGAGGGAAAAGTAAGATTATTTCATTAGTTGTTATTCGGATTCTCTTTATAAGACCAAAATTCAACCCATGCATCATTTTCACAATGGTATTACAACTACCTTGACTACAATAGCCACTATTCTTAAATCACGGAATGCAGAGACTCTGATTGGCTGTATTCATTAGTGGACAATCCGATCGAATCACTGCATCTATAGACATGATAAGGTGGCTATTGTAGTCAAGGTATAAGACAAAATCCATGAAGGTTTGGGTATTTCATCAGGATATTTTTGTTTACAAAAGTTTAAGCTTGGTGTTGTCCACTTTCTGGAACTCAATGAAGCACAGAACTCTGACATCCAACACATCATTTTTTCTTGCTTCTTTTGTCAGTATATTAGAAGTGTTAGTCATTAATAGAAAATGCTGTTAGTGTCTCAATATATATTGATGTTTTTAATCATGTAGGTGTGGCCAGGTAACACATACTTTCCTGATTTTACTCATCCTGATTCTCAGAAATACTGGACTAATATATCTGCTACATTCCATAATTCAGTTCAATTTGATGGCATCTGGATTGTGAGTATTATAATTTCTATAAAACATTAGGCCTATATCTGTGTAATCTAAGGCATAACTTCCTAATTACAATGTAATTTTCGACTAGTACATTGCAAGGTTTTTGATTTTTAAATCTCATTTACCTTTTTCTCTTTGATGAGTATTTTAGGTCTTAAGCTTATATGTGGTTTCTGAGCTTTTATTTGGTTTCTGATTTAGGATATGAATGAAATCAGTAATTTTGTGGCAGGATCAATAAATGGATGTCCTACTAATTCTTCTTTAGAAAATCCACCATATTTACCAGGTAATGATTATGAGCCTAATTTTATATTATGTGACAAGAAAATAGTAGTACATTGGTTTAGACTGGGTCATTAAATTTTATTCACATTTGAATTAAAATTCAATTATGAGCACTTGTTTCTGATGTTGCAGATGGTATTATTTTGCATCTGCCATCTAGATTTCCAAACAATGGATCACATTCACAGAATCCACATAGCTTAAAATGTTTTTGATATTTTTTTCAAATTCAATATACCAAATGGTATGGGTTTTAAGAAATCTATTTCATTAAATGAAAGTCTTTGATTATTATGAATGTTTTGTAGCTATAAATGGTAATAAATTATCAGTTAATACACTATGTTTAACAGCTCAACAATATCTATCTTCTCAGTATAATGTTCATAATCTGTATGGTTTTACTGAAACAAGAGCTACACATAAGTAAGTTCTTTATTCTGATAGGCCTGACTTACTGCCTTATACTTGAAGGCTTTTTCTTAGAGAAATGAACATTTTTTTAACTTAAACATTTATCTTTTTGAATTGTCTTTATGATTTGACATCAATTTATCAATTTTAAGGTCAATCAGAAATTGTATACTTATGGTTATGTACCATTCCTAATGTAGGATTTTTGTCCAAGTCATTCATTTTTTGTGATATGATATGATTTTCAGTGCTCTGGTAAGCATACGCCAAAAGAGACCTTTTGTAATAACACGTTCTACGTTTGTTGGTTCTGGTTATTATGGTGGACATTGGTCAGGAGATAATTATGCTTCTTATCATGATCTTTATAGATCAATTTCAGGTTATTTTCAATTTTGTAATTTATTAAATACAATGTAACTTTCTTCAACATAAAATATCATATCTGTATCATGATTTATATGTATTTTTATCACCAATATGACTTGTATTGCAATATTCTTTTACTGTCATAAATCTTTCAGACAATAAAAGGTGATATTGTTTTTATTAAAGATAAGCATGATTTAAAGCATTTCATTAAAATTAGAGTACAAATTTCGTTTCGTTATATTTTTATGCCGTATTGATGACATTTATTTCAACCAATCACAATACAGTATGTAAAATCGGTAGCCTAATATGGACTTTGAAATTGTGGGATAGTGAAACCCAAAATAGAACTTGATGATTCTATGGGACTATGAGACTGCCGAAACTTGCTTGTATAAATGATAATGATTTTGCGGGAGAGTGGCGTGTGATTGTCTGCTATAAATAGCTTGAAATGTCATCATTACATGACTATTGTATAAATCTCTTTAATTACAATGTAGGCCTAGTAAAATAATAACGAAACAACATTTTAATTAGATTTGGATAGAACAAACAGCTACCTAAATTGTGACATGTATATTGTTGCAAACCTAATAAGCTAGAACTTGGATCATGAATGAAAATACTGAAGAAGTTGGTGTATCTTGAATGTTAATAGTACATCATATTACTACATTTGTGTCTCATTAAACAGTTCCATAATATCTGACAAGTATTAGAAACTGTATATTCACTTCTAATCATTTTATTTCACACATTATCTATATATTATTCTATATGTTTTATATCATATATATCATTCAGGCTTACCCTGAGGAATAAAATTTGTCTAATATGTGATGCTGGTTTCAAAGCTATAATGATTCTATCTAAGATTGAAAGTGCAGACAGTATTATTTCGGCCTTCTGGACCTCATCAGTGCAGTGCAGATGCTGGAGTTGAGAATTGGCTATATAGCCAACTCAGATGATCCCTGAGAATTGTTTCAAAGTGTATTGTTGAATAGTATGCTTTTTTTCTTAAATCAGGTGTCAATGTTACCTATATGTATTTAAGATTGTCTATGTTTTCCATCTGTTTTAGAATCATTGAGTATGAATATGTTTGGTGTAACAATAGTAGGAGCTGATATTTGTGGTTTTAGAGGAGATACTACAGAAGAATTATGTACAAGATGGCATCAGCTTGGTGCTTTTTATACATTCTCCCGAAATCATAACAATAATGGAAACAAGGTGATATATATAACAAATTGAATTCGAGCCAAGTTTGGAACATTGGTTTAAAGATGAGGTTTAGGGGCATTAATATACATAATTTTGACCAGGAATCAAAATTTGGAACTTTCAATAATCATTCTGTCCATTCAGAAACATTGTCTGTACTCTCAGCTTTGTGAAATACCTTGCATTCACTTTTCCATAGAACCTTACACATTACCTTCAAGATTCCAATAGTACATTGAAGATTAATTTCTTTATTGATAATCATCAGTAGTTAAACAGTGATTAGCTTACAACAGCCAGATTGTTTGTTTTTACAGGCCCAAGATCCAGCCTCATTTGGTCCAGCCCTAGCCAAGTCAACTAGAAAAGTTTTACTAACAAGATATACACTATTACCATATTTATATACCTTGATACATAAATCACACATGATGGGTCATACTGTTATGAGACCACTGTTCTTTGAGTAAGTACTGTTCTGTATTATTTTTACCAGTAGAAATCCTTCTAAACAGACCCTCAAAATAAAAATATATCATCAAAATGAATGATCTGATTATTTGCTGTACCTGAGAAAGAAATATGTTTTTTTATTTCAAGCAATGATTGTTGACTTGTTTAATCTTATAGTGATATACATTTGGCAAGGTGTCATGTATTCATATCACCTCAACAGGAAAGAGAAGTACACAAATGAAGTGCAATGGCAACAACATCAAAACAACGGTTTCAATACAATGTGTTTCAATGCCATACTTGTGGAAAATAATATTTAGTAGAGCATATCCTTGAAAGCAAATTAATACCTTCCTTTTTTAAGGTACCCCACTGATGTTACAACCTACAATATAGACAAACAGTTTTTATGGGGACCCGCTTTATTAATAACACCAGTATTAGATGAGGTGGGTGCAGTTTGGAGATTTTATCATTTCCAAATTGTTTTTCTTGTCATTTTATGTCCATTTTATGACATTTCTATTTGCACCATTCTAATTAAGTGCACAATGAGTGAAGTCCATACATGTCTCAGTTTAGGAAATAGGGATAGGCCTAGTGAGATTATGAAAAATGTGTTTCGTATTGTAGTAGTTGACAATTAATAATATATTATAGGGAGTAAGAAGTGTTGAAGGGTATTTTCCTAAAGATATTTGGTATGATTTTTATACTGGACAATGTATTGTATCTGAAGGAGGTGGTCAAATTTTAGATGCCCCACTAGATAAGATTAATCTTCATGTACGTGGTGGATATATCTTACCCTGGCAATATGCTAATACTACCACAACACTCAGGTATATAATCTTTTATTACATTGCTTTAAAAATTAAGATACCTTTTATCTCTTGCTGTCATTCACCTTAATGTTTTTAATATTCACTTCCTGTACTCCACAAGTCAAGTCACTGATGGTGACCCAAAGGCAATGAACTGGTCAGAATTATTCTTGTTTCAACTGAGGATACAGTAAAAACCAGAGTTGCTGAATTACTTCAATTTATTCACGTTGAAAATTGAATGGCTGAAACTTATGCATATTTGATTTTCAAAGCTGAATTTATACTTTAATTTGGTTTGTTTTGATTTGTTTGAATATAGATACATTCAATGAGTTATATATTTACAGTCGTAAAAATAAGTTTGGATTATTGGTGGCATTAAATAGTAGTGGAGGTGCTGAAGGTGATCTATTTTGGGATGATGGGGATACTTTAGGTGACTTTCTCTACCTTATTTTAACAAATTAAAATATATTTATTTACCTTCATGTATAATGGCATCATTTTATTTGGTATGTTAAAAGAAAAGATACTGCAGTAAAACAATAATTTATTTAGTTTTCACCTCTTAAACCACTGTTATAATATTTTACTCAATTCTTTATTTGCTTGATTTGCAGATACTCATGAAAAGAAAATATTTAATATGTTTACTTTCACTGCTGATTCGGTAAGCTTTTTATATTTCCTATGTTACTTTAAGCATAGTTAATTTTTGCAATAAAATTTGGTTTTAAAAAGGACCTTTCAAATTATGAAGCTCTCTTTCATTAATAGTAGGACTTAAAGCTCCATTTCATTTTTTATTTTCCATACACATCTTATTGTGTTTTTTTTTTTTTTTTTTTTTAGAAAGGAGTATATGTTAATGCCATGTATATAGGACTGTCACAAGAATCCATGTATTTGGGTGATATCACTGTATTTGGTGTTAAAACTAAACCCGCCAGTATAACAGTTAATAATAAAGCTGTACAATTTGTATATAATGACCAATACAAGGTATGTAGTAATCTATTACAAGAAAGCAAAATCATTCATGGAAATACTAAATGTAAATAAAATGAATATTTCATATGCACATACTGTCAGTATGATATAGAAAGTACCAATGCTTCGTGTTTGTGAAACATTGATTTTCAGAAATGACATTATCATACAATTAAAAGCTTACATTTTGTCTTTTTTTATCAGATGATTATTTGTATTATGCCTTTAAATATAAAGATTGATTTTTTAAAATACTTTACAAGAGAGAGAGAGAGAGAGAGAGAGAGAGAGAGAGAGAGGAAGGGTTTATATACATATTAAAGTAAAAGTAACAGATATTTTTAATCTGAAATATGATTTAAGAAATCTTGATCATGTGTTCATAAAGTTTCAAAGGTAAATAATCATTCATAATAGTAAAATTTTTGTTTTTTTCAGGTATTATATATAGCTGGACATTCCTTTGATTTATATCAACCCATTAGATTACTCTGGACATTTTAATGTTTTATTTAATATTTTTGTTGTTTTGCATATGTACCTTTGTTACCAATATACTCCCTTTCTTATTTTACTACCAAATTTAAAATATATCATAATTTTAAATAATAACAATCAAGGGCCTTTCATGAAAATTTTTCGTTTGAATAGTTATTTTAAATTTAGTTTTTATACCAGTTTTATATGTTGATTTGAACTGTTATTGTCTAGTCAATGATGATTGTTATGTTAAAGGGTAAGATTGATGTTTTTAGTTTGACAGTAACCACATGAAAAATATTTTGACAATTGTAGCTAGCTGTTGGTAGGTAGGAAATTTTGCCACAACAATATATGAAGTCTCATTTTATTGCCGTATCTCACTGTTTCTGATCAATGCTTGGAATGTCAGTTAAGCAAAAATTTTACTGAGCTATCCTGCTTCCCACAAACTATTTGAAGGTTTCTATGTAGGTATTGTTGATCTAAAGTTCAAACTTTGTAATGCTCTACAAAAGTCTACAAAAAGTGCATAGGTATCATACATGCTAAATGACTGCAAGCCACATTATATTGTCAAATATATTAAAAAATGTCAGATAAGTCAGCATGCTGAAAGATTGCTTGTCAACTGTCTGGGTTTTTTCCAACTTAATTTTATTTTTTTACGTCTGGTTCAAACTGACTAATTCAAATTACCGGTTGATATTTGTCCATGATGGTTTACTGTCTTTTACTCCTAATATTCACAATAAAAACAGGCAGAATTTAATTTCAGCTAACTAAATCATTTTACAGAATAAAATTTGGGAGTTGTGTTTGTCTGCAATTTAATAAACATGGGGTAAAGTTGAATGATTGTCTAAATTATTTTAAAATTATTGACATATTAGTACGACAAACTTTTGAAATATAGCTTTTGTCAGATGGTAAAACAAGTAGATAGTATAACCCAATAATCTTCTTACTGTTTTTGTGCTGAACCTGAATGAGTGCTTGATGTTTTATTTTGCTAACTGATTTGTTTTATTTTGCTAACTGATTTGTTTTATTTTTGTATTTTGGAAAGATGAATGATTTTTGGAATGATTTTAATGTTTGAAATAAAAAGAACTGTGATAAAATAAATTTTATGAAAAGTGAAATATTGAAATTTTTTTATTTATCCAAATACCTCTTGTAAAAGTTACTGGAGAAATTGTATTTGTACGATTTATTAGAATTTGTAGATGGTTGATGGCCAGCTGATTGATTGTTCAGTTGATACAGATAAACCAAAAGAGGCCTGTCAGACAAAATCTTAAATTAATTTCTTTAATGTTTGACACATACACAGCAAGTATTTCTGATATTAGGATAAACTAAAGCCTTTTCAGTTAAATGAGTTATGTAGTTACAGATGTTTTGGATTTTCTATGGTTGGAGGAAACTGTTATACATTACATGGCCTAGTAAAGAAACAATTGCAACCATTGAAATGCTCTTTTTAATGAAAAATTTAGCAAACCTATAAAAATTAGATGGTCCTTCGCTATTTTATTCTTAAACATTGATTTGTATTGTTAGCTTTCACATAGTAATCTAGATTTAAGGCCAACTGGAAGAGTGGTTATTCTCAAAAAATGATTTTTAATTTTGAAGATTAAACACAAGTATATCACACTGAAATATAATCTTATATAGTTAAAAACTAAGGTGCCATGTAATTTGTTGTTTAAAGTTCTGGTGGGTAGTTTCTCTATGTAACAATCAACTAAAAGATAAAGCTATGAATAGTATAGATTTATTCATAGGACATGTTCAATTACAGTACATATATCAATATTTACACAATAGTCTATATGACGTCAGATACTGACTGAGAATGATTAAAAAAACATCTGGTTATTACTATCATACAAAAATAATAAAATATTAAACAAATAAACACAACTAAAATAGAACAAGTTTTTTTTAAAGTTGTCAATTGACAATGTGATCTCAAAGTGATATAAAACCACCATACCCATAAAAAAGGTGACCACAGTTACATAATATCCTCATAATTGACCACATTACAGCTGTTAAAACCAGAAAGTCTGCACTGCAGATTTATTACATGTCCTCCGTATAATAGAAAAAGGAAATTCATGTATCGGTGGATGTTATTAGTTACAAACTGCTAACAAATCAAAAAGGGTGATTTCAATGGACAGGGGCAGGTACTTTAAATTTATCAAAACACAATGCAGTATTCTCCAGGGCTTCCAAACCTTGTAGGTTAACATGACAACCTTGAAAATTGATAGATTTCATGACCTACAATCTACATAGTTTGACATTTTAGTGATACTGGAGGAAAAGAAAGTCATTATGATAATTGACACTGTGTACCCTAGTTTCTAGTTCTATGATCAGGGTACAAATTTCACTGGAATAATTCTAGCTCTAGTGAAGATAGACTTATAAAACATGCTAATCAACAGGCCACTAGTGCCAAAATCAATCTATATGCTGATCACAGACAAAATATTAAAAAAAAAAAAATAGACTGGTTTAAATGATAAATGAAACAACAGGAAATAAATATGAAGGCACAATAAACATGCATGTCGAGCTATATAAATTGAAATGAGATTCATTAAAATATAATATATGGAATGACTGTAAAATTGAGAACAAAAAGCACAAATTCTTCTACTTTATTACTGTTATGTTACTAACAAACTAGTTAAAATTTTGAAATAGAATGTGAAACCAAATGAATAGAATATCTGTTGACAAAATAATGTTCAAGTTAATAAATATGCAAATATAATTAATTTTCATATTTAATGGAAATCATAAATACAATCGACCAAATTGCTATAAAAATAAGTCCACAGTTTGAAAAAGTAACAGCTGGAAACATCATCTCCAATCAAGTATATAAGACCACAATAGCAGACCTGTTAGTCCATATACTTTAAGTGTAGTAGGGAATAACTAAAGAGTACATCCAGGCAATGTTGTGTATTTGAAGTAAACCTTGTCACCAAATCCCAGCCTGACAGTCAGTAGGCAAAAAAACTTCTTTATTCAGATAATTCTGCTGCAAATAATGAAGTTACTATTCACAAAGAGACAAAGTCAAAGGAAATATAAAGATTGCAAGAATTCACACATTATCATATATAATCACAAAGGAACCAATCTTGTTGTCTCATGGTCTATATGCAATTATTAATTAAAATATATAAAGAGCAGAAGAAGTTGAACCTTTTCTTGGAGACATTTTCTACATCTCTATCTATATAAACAATTTTATCAAAATTAATAAAATTTTCTGTAACAAAAGTTTTCAACACAATTTGGGGAAAATAAAACTATAGTAAATTATACATGTACAACAATAACAATATAATAAACTACTATAATAATAACAAATATTAGTTAACATAACAACTAATGAACACAGTTCAACATTATTTCAATACTTGAATTCTCTGCATTAAGAGCTCCCTATGTATGAATTAATAAGTTGATACATACCAGTGCTTCTAGAAACTATATTTCTTCAGATATTTTTAGTGTACTATATCTGATGCTATATTTATTTTAAATCAAGAAGTTCAATCCTACTTGCCAACTTCAACCATATTATTACTGGGTTTTAAGTGGATTCTCACAAATAAAGAGTACCGGTACCAAAGTTTTTTTCTACTTAATTTCTGTGCCAAATTTAATTGAAACTGTGCCAATACATTGACTTCACTTAATGGTTGT